TTCAGATTTGCATCAAGAGTGGAGCTGTTTTTCCTCTTATCTCTCAAAGATGAAAGCTTTACGTTCTCATCTGATGGTAACAGTGTTGGTGGTCTAACAGGACTTGCACAGTTAAAAGTAGTCCAATTTGTTACATATTTTTAAAGAAAGTTTTTTCACTTATTTTCTTTTGTCTTTCATCTTGTAGATTATTTTACATCTAATATCTCCTGATAAACGAATAACTTGTACTTAAAGACCATTCTCATAGGAAATCAGATAAACTTTTATACAGTACTGCTGTAGTTTTTATAAGTCTTTAAAGGCTTCCTAGTTTATCTTTTTGGAATCTATGCATGGTGTATTATGTATTATGTATTAAAACACATTTTTATGTGGCCTTTTTTATAACTCTGATTTCTCAGTTGATTGTCTAAATAATCAGTAGATTACTCAATTGCTAATATTGCCCTGCTTAACTCATTCATGTATGTGCTAAACCCTTGCATGAAGCTGTAATTGTATGTATTACCTTACACAGGCCGTGAATTGCAGTTCACAGTATAGCATACGCTGTATCGTGTTCATGCCATTGCAACACGTGTATCCTGAGGTGTTGCCAGCAGGGTCAAAGCCTCATTCTGAATCTACCAGTGGAAATGGAAACTGGTCTGAAATATGATTGCATGCTGTTGAATCAGGTAATGGGAGCGCTTGTTTGGGTTCAATCTGCCAGTAAAATTAGAGATCAGTAATGTGGAGGGTGATTGCGAATGGCTTTGGCCTCATGCGTGGAGAAATTGATTTGCAGGTATTAAATCTTAATCAGGCCAGTAGAGAGCAAGCCATGAATAAATAAAGCACTGGAGGCTTACTGGGGGCTGCAGGCAGTGACCTTTTCATTTATCTACACTGTTTCAAGGTCCTCCCTTGTCCCCCTCGCTCTGTCTCTCCCTCCCTCTACTCTATCCTTATTCACCCTTTTCTACTCTCAGTGGGCCAGTTTTCTGGACACAGACTATACTGAGCCTTTGACTAAAAATAAGCCTTTTCAGTGGGAGATGTCCGCTGAATGTGTGCTTTAGTCCAGTTATGTGCTTTTGTCCCAGGTCTGTATTGAGACTACCCAGCAATGAACAGTATGAAGGGCCTATAATCACTCTTAGCAGCTCTATAAGCAGTTTCAGCAGTTGTTTAAGTAGAAACGTTTTGAAGACCATGATGCTCTTAAAGAGCCCATATCCTACATTTTTCTTACCTTTAACTGTTCCTCAAGGTCCACTTGTGATGCTCGTAACAATCATGATTCGTTTCATATAACCATTTTTCAACCTCTCTTTATGCCTTAGAATAAGACTGATAGTGCATTTAAGATTGATATATGTAAATGACTTCTGTTGTCATTGGCTGCCCTCTATTGTGCCTCATTCAAAAAGCAGTCCAGACTGAAACCCTTATAACTTCAGTTTGAATCGGTGGAGCTAAACTGCTATAGGCTGAATAGGAGGATAAATGCAAATGCATTGTTTTTTGTGACCACAAATACAGTGAAGTCAAAACAGGCTTAAACCTTTAGCAGTGTTTACATATTAGATTTTCTTTTATTATCGTTGCATATTTACCTACAAAAGATTTGATCTCCTTTGTATACAGTTAATGTTTTGTTGCATCTGCTGTAGCATTTGTGAAACTTTTTTTCCTGACCTAATACTTAATGAGCATGTTTTTTTTCATTATTGCATGCAAAATCATATAAATGAAGTAGGTAGCATCCCCCAAGTAGCTTGCTTAGGGTCCCCAAATGTTCTGTATACAGTTCAAACTTTAAAATATAATCTATTCTCTCTCTTTCTCTCTCTCGCTCAAAAAAGGAGCACACAAACCGACTGATGTGTCTGTTTGATGTCTAATGACTGCACTGAGCGCATTCTGCAGGGACAAGAGCATAAAGTACTGACTGCACTGACAAATGCCGAGCGCTTCACTGTCAATAGCACACTTATCGCGCTCCACTAATGACCCTGCCTTGATAAAGAGCTGCTTTGAGACATGCACTGGTGACAGGTGTGTGTATGTGTTTCTGTGTGTGTGAAACAATCGGCCTCTCATCATTGTGCTGTGATCAGAAAGGCTGTTTTACAAGCAATGACATGGAAGAGACCAGGGAGAATGCCTGTTTGTCCATGGCTCATATGTCCTCATGAATGATCCTGTATGCCAGGCGGCAAAGCAGCGGAGCGGCGCGGCTTTGAGTCATTGGTGTCGTGTCCGCTCAATTGAAGCTTTTATTAAATTGACTTTGTCTTATAGAGTCAAATCGATTAGCTGCGCTTGCTGCGATCCCAGACGAATCTGTCCCTCAGACGTCACTATGGCAGACTGTGTGTCTGCATGCAGGTTAGTGCTTAGCAGAAAGACAGCGCTCGCTCAGATCCAGCGTCAGTGGCACCCGGCACACTCGGGCATTTAGTCTGAGATTTCATAAAACTGCAGTGTTACAAAAGCCTCTCTTCATGTCAGTGTTGTTGTGCTCTGGAGATGTAGCAGGGTGACGGCTTTGCTCTTTCACAGCCACTGTGTCTGAACACTGCTATTCCAGTCTGGACTTGCATAGATGGTGCTCTCCGTTAGAGAACTGCATGAAATCCATGAAAAGAAATGCTTAATCTCACATCACCCCTCTTTCTCAGTCGTGAAATGATTTGCATAATCAGTGTAAGGTGTCAATTTAAGCGCCGCTCGCATTTCTCACACCACCTCCATGGAGACACTCGTCAATGACGTCCCCTTCTGCCCACCATGACTGCCAATCTGTCTCCGTGGCGCCCACTCAAAGAAGTGTCCTCTTCCGGAGAGAGGTCCCTGGGCTAGCCGCACGGCCAAAATTGAATCACAATATATTTTCCATAGCACTTCATATAAATAATTATCAATAAGTGTTATATGCATGTCCTATTGCTTTATTTTAAGTCTGAATGCCATTTTGAATGCTTCACAAAATAAAAGGTGCTTGCTTTGCAGTACATCTGACTTAAGAGAGTTAAACCCATTCCACACTGCAGAGGATGCATGGCCATTTTTTAAGTAATCTCCTACAGATGTCTAAAGTGGTGTCATCATTTTATAGTTAACAACATGCTCATATAAGCTCATATAAGTGCCCATTTAATGCCTCTTTTACTTGCTAGACAGGGAGAGAGTTTGGAAGTCCAGCCATTCATTCGTAACAGGATAAGCTAGAATGACAGTAGTTAATTTGCTGTTAATTTTCACGGTTTAAATTATGGAAACCAACTTCAGCCTCGTAGTAAATGGTAGCTTCCCCTGCTACCATTTACATGTTTGTGTTCTGACAAACCAAACTACTCCCTGAGGACTCGCAGTTCGCCCTGTAAGTGATTTGTCAGAATGAGCTGTAACAGCGTAACAGCGTTACATACATTAGCTAACTAACTACGTCCAACTGGTTAATTAGCTTAAAATAATCATTTTGTAAACATACTTTCCACATGAAAAAATGCCATTTGCACATTCTCGAAACCTATTCACACAGATTCGAGTGGACTAGCACATTAAAATGTTCAACTGGTTAAATGATGCTACAGCCTGAAGAGCTGTAATGTTAATCTACATACATATTTTATCATTGTTTATGTATTATTATTATTATTATTATTTTAACATTTAATATTTTATATTTACTTTTTATTCATTACTATAGATAAAAAATAAAGGCAGGCTTAAACAAAGCACCACTCATGGTGGTAATTCAGCTCTATGTGAACAGTACCCCAGTTTGTCAGAACATTGCTAAACATTTAATTGCTACAGCTCCTAACATTAACAGTCCACAGTTAAGGCGATTAACCAATTATTAGCCAAGTGATTCTCGTGAAAAATTGACTATCAAAATACTTGTTTTTTGCTGCCTTAAATAGAAGTGCAGTATTCACCCAATATCATTTCAGTTTGTGGAAGTGTAAGCTTGCTTGTAGCATAGATGAAGCAATATTTATATTTCAGCTGCTTAGCAACTTTGTAAAGTAGAGGATTTAGTGACATTAAGGGTAAAAATGCACACAGGACAAAATGATTTGGAAAATTTTTGTTGACCACTGGACACAATATCAGTGATTTTCAAAAGCAACATTTTTTTCCTATCATAGAAAAACCAGAGAAAGACAAAGAAAGACACAGAGTTCCATATATGGGTAAACCACCAACTACAAAATGACGTACAACTTCAGACGTCTATTGTTCTAAGACTTTTCCTCAAAGTTGCAGCCTTTTTACCTACCATAATTAAAACCCTGAACATAACTAGATAGCCAACTACAGCCACACTAGTATATGCTGTTTCTAGGGAATGGTTAGACTTCTTCTTTCTGAAATCATAAAATCATTTTATCACAAATATAGCCTCATCAATATGAAAAAAATCAATAATTATTGTTATTGTTTTATTACCCAGGCCTATTCTCATATCCCTGCCTCAAGTTCTCACCCAGAGCCGCAGGCGAGGTTCTAACGGTGGAGCAGAGTTCGTGATCTCTGGCTGCCTGATGATCACTCCTGCTGGAAGGCATGTTTTAACAGCCTGCGCTGTTCCATGAGGCGGAACACGTCTTAAGCTGGGGGAAGTCTCCCTGCCACAGGGTTGCCGTTCAGTATTCTCGGGATGGCTTTTTGCCATCACCGCCTCGTCGCTCTGGTGGTCCACTACATGCTTCATGCTCAGTCGCTGTGCCCATACTAGGGTGATAAGCCTTGGCCTCATTATACTTGATTATGGATCTGTCCAAAGCTATTAATCTCTGCTTTACATGCTGCGCTAACTGATGCTTCCCCTCTTTGCCTTTCCCTCCTGCTTCTCTCTTTACTTCTCTTCCCTTTACTTCCTTGTTCTCCTCGCTCTACACCTTCTCTCTGTCACACACGCTTTCTCCAACCTTCTTCACCACTCTTCCTCCTCGTCCTTCCTCGTTTCCTCCTCTGCTTCCTCCCCCCCCTCTGTGGTGTAGGTCACTGTCTGGCCGCATCGTGGGAGGTGTGTGGTGGTTCTTCACCCTCATCATCATCTCCTCCTACACGGCCAACCTGGCGGCCTTCCTCACTGTGGAGAGGATGGTGTCGCCCATTGAGAGTGCTGAAGACCTGGCCAAGCAAACAGAAATAGCATACGGCACTCTAGACTCAGGCTCCACCAAAGAGTTCTTCAGGGTGAGTAGGCCGAGCAGACGGGGGGAGAATAACTAATTACGCTGCCATGATTTCCATCTTAAATTAAGTCACTTGAAAGAAATGCTTGAGTAAATTACACGGCCACAGAATTTATCTGTAGGATTTATTTCTGACCATCTACACCACTGTTCAAATGTTTGGAATCACTGTTTAACGTAAAACCAGTTTTTAACAGCATTTTTGCAACACTAACAGCATCATATCATTCAAATACCAAATCTAAATTAATCTTTAAAAATGCAGAGAAAATTACCAAGTCAGAATTGTTCACAGCTGTAGTGATAGGAACCAGAAATCTGAAGACTTTCATTCCTCTTAAACCTTCCTTACAGAAAGTTATTATGTGAAATGGCTATGAATATACTGATTTCTGATTCCTGAGACATTGTTTTATGTTAGCTTTGAAATAAAACTTTGTGCCTAAAACATATTTTTTTCTTTTCATTCATGGCGGAGAGGTACATGCAAGGCAAAATAGTCCTTAAAGAAAACTTACTTCTTTAGATTTACCACTATTTCACCCTTATTAACATCACATATAAAACTCATAAGACATATGCTGGCTGGCTGGCTGTTTTAAGTAGTAAATAAAATGTCTATGTTTGCGTTGTAGACATCACAACCCCAGTCCCTTTTACCACAATTGTAATGAAAAAATCTGAGTTGATAAATTTCTCAGACCACTCTGAATGACTTTTATTAATACAAATTATTAATTTGTATTAATAAAAGTAATGATTTTAATTATAAATTATTAATTATTAACAAATTATTAACAAACTTTTGAACTTGTAAAATTTGATTGTATTCACTGTGTTATGGTATTGACACAGCCTAACATAAACTTCAACCCCTGTATTTGTCCACTTGAATGCCTTTCTCTCCCCCTCTGCCACCTCCCAGAGGTCAAAGATCGCTGTATATGAGAAAATGTGGGGCTACATGAAGTCGGCCGAGCCCACGGTGTTCACTAAGACCACAGCAGAGGGTGTGGCTCGGGTGAGGAAATCGAAAGGGAAGTACGCCTTCCTGCTGGAGTCCACCATGAACGAGTACACGGAGCAGCGCAAGCCCTGCGACACCATGAAGGTCGGAGGCAACCTGGACTCCAAAGGCTACGGAGTGGCCACGCCCAAGGGCTCACCGTTAAGGTGGGTGGAGTAGTATAACAATATGTCACGTGTTGTTATGGTATTCCACCTTCCCTGGCGTGCCTATCTCTACTTTTATACTTTCTTTCTCTTATTTTTGTTTTGCTCTTTGGTTGGCTTTTCTTGCTTACATAAGCATTGTTATGTGGGGTGGAGTTACGGCTGCAGTAGTGTTTTTTTCTGATTTTGCTTTGTAGAGCATATATTTATGAGAAGCTTCATTCAGGTAACTGAGTTGCATGTGGATGTCACTGACATTGAAATGAAATGTTGAGATGTTTCGCATATGATGCATATATTTGAATGGAGTCCAGTGAATGCCCAGCCTGTTCTGACACTGCCCTGCTCTCGCACTAACTGTAGAATTTACAGACTGGAAGAAGGGCCTGAAAAAATTAAGAGAGACTTCAGTGCAGACAAAAAAAACAATATAACATCAAAAAATGTCCCGTATGTATGTAGATGTGTGGGAAGGCACCTATTATTACACCTCCGCTTAGATTTGCACCCAGTCTAACCAATTTATACCGTTCAGTCTGTAAACTCCACCACGTTCGGTCTGTTAAGGAAGTCCAGCATTGCCCAGGCTTTTCTCGCTGACCTTGGTGAGAAAAGTAACTTACAGATGAGAGTAGCTCCCTGGGTCAGCCATTTCGCTGGAGTTACCATCGTCTGTCTGTCACTTCTCCTGCATGTGAGGAAAAGGGCCTCCACCAGCGTGGCAGAGAGATGTGTGCGTAGTGTCAGAGCATAGCTGAGGCTTTCCCTCGGCTCCACGTCTCCAGCACACTTTAACACTCTTCTGTCTCTACCCCTCCTCAGCTCAGACAGGCCTCTCTGCATTCATTTCTTTTTCCACTGCAGTCTTTTCCCTCTTTGTTCCTGTGGGCTGTGTCTTTATCAGTGTTGCATTTAGGATAAACTGCATTCAGGATAAACCTCTCTTGAAACCACTGAAAGTGCTGATTCTTTTTCCAAATTCTACATTTTTCAATTTTTTTCCGAAGGTTCTTCCAAATTTCTACAGAATTTTTCTAGATTGTTGACGGTAAACCGTGTAGTCATCTTTTTTATATTAAAAAAAAAGAAAACATATTTTTATATATTTTCAGTGATGCATGTGTACTGTGACATACAGTGGAGTCCAAAAGTCTAAGATCACATTGAAAATGTGGGATTTTGTTTCATTTAAACTTAAACAGCGGAAAGTGTGAGAATTTTAAAAGCAAAATGAAGAAGAAATATTCAGGATTATGCACTATTTCTGGGTTACTATTCAAATTTAAGCAAATTTGTGACCCTGTTAATGCCTTTGTACAAAAAGATATCTTTTCCACTCACGTTCAGATGAATCTCAGGTGGATTTGATCTACTTATCAGAGGCTTTTGCACTAACTTGTGGATTCCAGCTTGAGTGCACACTGTCATTAAAGCAAAATGGGAGACACACGGAATACTAAGAATTTCTGAAATTCATGTAATTATTTCAAAGATAGGAAGGCACGGTGGCGCAGTGGGTAGCCCTGCCGCCTCACACAGCTGAGCCACCAGAGTTCTTTCTGTGTGGAGTTTGCATGTTCTCCCCATGTCTTCATGGGTTTCCTCCCACAGTCCAAAGACATGCAGTCAGATGCTAAATTGGGTGTAAATGTGTGTGTCTGCGTGTCAACCCTGTGATGGACTGGTGACCTATCCAGGGTGTTTCCTGCCTTCTGCAAAATGAGTGCTGGGATAGGCTCCAGCACCCCCTGCAACCCAGGAGGATAAGCCATTTACAATGTGTGTGTGTGTGTGTGTGTGTGTGTGTGTGTGTGTGTATGTTTCAAAGATTCTACTTTTCACTCAAATTATTATGCTAATAATGTAATTTGTAATAAAAAATCATACTAAATCAGAAAATAATGCAAAATAGAAGCATTTTTACTAGTGGTCTCAGGCTTTTGGACCCCACTGTATTTTACCTCATTATTCACATTAGGTATAATATATAGTCTTGGTCATAACAATATCTTTATCTCTGATATAGTAACTTTAAAGGAGAAGTAAAACATTCTTAACTTTAATGTTAGTTAATGCAATTTTAATTTTATTCCTGGTAGTTTTAAATTATTCTTGTTCATCCATTCTTTATGAACTGTTCATGTAGAGTAAAAGGGCAGTTGCTGTTTTCAAAAGGAATAAGAAAATAAAAATAAGGTTTTTATATGACAGCGATAAAATAACGGTGGGTTCTTTCTTCAATGCCATAGAATCTTTTTTTGTTTACCTTAAAAACTTTGTAAGGATGGTTCTTTAGAGAGCCATTTTTGTAAATGAGATGTGTGAGTGTGAAGAATCTTTTTAAAGTTTAAAGAACCTCCACATGATGTAAAGGTTCCAAGAAGAAACATGGGTTCTTTAAGCCTTCACCCTCACAGATCTCTTTTTAAACATTCTTCTTTAAGGAACCAAAAGGGGCTCTTCTTTGACGTTGCTCAAAGAATCTTTATGGCACTGTTTTTTATAGAGTGCACATGGAAAGGAGCACCCTGGTTTTAAGGGCGTTAATGTATTGCTAGCAAGTTCATGTTGAGCTCTATAGGCCCTAGTTATTGGCAAGTGAGACTGTGGCTTGAGGATAAAGGTATTTTGAGGCAGGGATCTTCCTTATTCAGCACTTTTCCAGATGCTCAGAGCTCATTTAGACTATTTGAAAGTAGCCCCGGGATAGAAGCAGGTATTCAGGTATTCAATACTGTGAAGGTCCTCTGCATCTCTCAAAGCAATATTGACTGTAGAGTAATGAGGAAGCATGAGGGAGAACAAAAGATGGGGGGGAAGAGAGAGAGAAAAAAGAGAGTATGTGCAGAGGAGGTATAGATTTTTCACTTCTTTCATATTAGGGGTCCTGTGTTGTTCTTGTTCGAAACAAATGATGCGCGTGTACGTTTTACATCGGAAACATGAGAAAAGAGAGGTTTGTCCAGTGTGTTTATGTGTTATGTGTGGGAAGGGTGGGGGGAGGGGACAAAAGCTCTAGAATTTTCCACCCCTATATATATATTTTTCTGTAATTTTCTGATTGGGAACTGCTCACTCTGACAAACTATGTTTTATCGTTTCAAGAAGTGCAGTTAACCTGGCAGTTTTAAAACTGAATGAACAAGGCCTGTTGGACAAATTGAAAAACAAGTGGTGGTACGACAAAGGAGAGTGTGGCAGCGGAGGAGGTGGTGAGAAGGTTAGCCACTATGTCAACAAATGCGGGTAAACAGATTCCTCTGTAACGGGCGCATCTGCCGGGGCCGCACCACACACACATACCTGACCATGGCTACTAACTCATTTAGCCTGTGACGAGAGCCGGAAGAAAGCAGTTACTGTCAGAGCACAAACATTCGCCTTCATTCAGGCCCTGATTCTTCCTTTGATGTGCCGCATCAACATTCATGCGCCATATTTAGAGTGGAGATACTGAGGCAAGTGTGCACTCCTTTCTTTCCTCCAAGATTTAGCACATAAAAAACTTAATCTGCATCCTTTTGTCATTCCTATTCTCTCCTGGAAGAGAAGCCAGCACCTGCATCTTTAAGGATGAATAATGCAGGACGTATTCAGTGGGTTTGGAAAGGAGCTTCAGCAGACGCATTGTGATGGTGCATTTGAGACTGGCACAGAAAACTACTCAAAGCAGTGCCATTATAAAGAGCTTACATATAACTCCATCGCCACTATTGATACCGCTGCAATATTTAGCAATTGCCAAGGACAGTTTTGTGGATATTTCCTCAAAACGTTTCGGTATCAGTTTGAAAGTAATTGTTTTTCATTGTAGGAAGGACATACACTCTTAAAAATAAAGGGGTTCTTTAGAGCAATTCCACAGAAGAACCAGTTTTGGTTCCCCAAAGAACATTTCAGTGGATGGTTCTTTAATGAGCAATTTTTGCAAATGAGACCTTTTTTTGTAAAGTTTAGGAGCCCTTATCATCAAAAACAGTTTTCCTTACTTTTTAAAAATAAAAGAGTTTGATGTAGCATGTAAACATTGTTAAAGTTTCTAAATACACCATTCAATTTCCAGTCCATATGGTTCACATATGGAAATTGACCTCTTTTCTCAGAAGGTCCTTACTGGCCATTCCACTGGCAGAATGGAAATCAACTATTACATTTTTAATTAATATAATCCAAATATTTTACTTGTAACTCTGTTATCAGATTAGTTAGGACACAGTCGGCTCTCTGTGTTGAGCTGCTAGCGAGCAAAGATGGGTGAAAGGGGAGGTGTGAGACCGCCTGCTGTCAAAATAATTCACACCTCTCCTGGATGGCCATGCCAAGATAAAGCAGACACTACAACTTTAGCTTTCTTGATATAAAAAAAATCCACGATAACTCTGCAACAAACAAAATAGCATTCAAAAACGAAAAATACAAAGCTCACATATAAAGATGAAAATCCAGTTTGCTTTCGTTTTTGCACATAATGCACATATTCCATTGTTGTTGAAGAATAGAAAATTGCATAGTTCAACTAAGGGACCTCCAAAACAGGCAGAAATTGCATTTCATGCCTACTGTGAAAGAATTAAGCTGCGAAAAAGCGCCAATTTTTAATTTATTAATTGGATTTGTGGTGTCACAAAAGCCAACACATACATCTATCTGTCTAGTCAGCTTACAGTAATTAAGTCCCACCCATTCATGTTGTAGTTATAAAAAGTGTTTAATCCGAAATGATTGACTGATTTATGAATGAGTCAAGATACAGGGCAGCCAATCACAACATAGGTTATTTACATATATTAGTCTTAAAGGAACAGTAGCAAAAACAGTCTGTTTAATACCCAATTGACTGACTGATTAATAAATGAGTCAAAGTTCAAGGCAGCCAATTAAAACATAGGTAATTTACATATATTATGCCTAGTCTTAAAGGAACAGTAACAAAAACAGTCTGTTTAATACTAAGGGATAAGGAGAGGTTGGAAATGGTCATGTAAAAATGAATTGTGACAATTTTTGTTACGTAAAACCACAGAAACATCGTAAGTGGACATAGAAAAATAAAATACAAGAAAAACACAAGGTATGAGCCCTTTAAAGAACTTCCACATGATGTAAAGGTTCTATACCCATTAAACATTTGTCCAACCAAAGAACCATTTAGGACCCTTTATTTTATAAAGGAGTATAAAAGTGTAGAAAAACTGGATGCAGTTATGTATAAAAAATTTCAAGTGCTTGTTGCTACTGATGTGTGCCAGTGTTTGTGGGCTAACAGTAACTGCCTCTGGGGTTTGCTGAGAAACAGGCCGTGGCAGTATGTGCCCGTTGCCCAAAGCGATGGGGCAGGGTCCCATTCATATGTCTGTAGCTCCGCCCCTCCCTAGGCCCTAACGCTTTCAGCTCCAGGAGCATAGAGACATGTACTCCAATGGGACCCTGCCCTCTGTCACTTTGCCAGTGCAACTGCTGTGTCAGCTACTGTAACTGAATAACATAAAATAACATGTCCTATGATGTTATTTATGTTATTTCCCCTACGTGGTTGAAGAACTCCTGTAAACCTTGCCGTTTTGAAACTGAGTGAATCAGGCATCTTAGACAAGCTGAAAAACAAATGGTGGTACGATAAGGGCGAGTGTGGACCCAAGGACTCGGGAAGTAAGGTCAGTCTCCACAAGTCTGGGACCATCACTGTTGTCTAAATGCTCGCACAGACATGGTGACAGCCTGTGTGTCAGTGAGAGAGAGCTAGAGAGCGAGAAAGAGAAAGGGGAAAAAGAAGTCATGCGTTTAGATATGGCAGGGAGGAGGACATGTCAGTTTCACTATACACAAATTATGTAATAAGCAAAAATAACAAGTGTACCACTTGGTGCATGCACCAGGCTTCAAGGAGCGTCGTAGTTTCTCCATGCCCTGCTCAGTTTTTGTCCCCGAGCTTGGAATGTCTTACTATCTTTCAGAACCTGTCACCAAACCTATACTAGGACGTCTAAAGCCGCAGTTACACTAGACATTTGTAGTTTGCGTCTCTTTGCAAAATGGGCGTGACCAAGGCTGAATCAGTGTGGTAATTGTGGTGGTCCCCCCACCAAGTTGGTCCACCTCGCATCATGGATGCTGTCTTAACTTAAATCACCATTGCTTGAACAAATGTCACCAATAAAATGGACTGAAAAACATTTTAATCTACTAAGAGGGTGTTTTTGTTTGCCAAAGTGCTGCTAAAGGCACATACATGAGCATACATACGTCCCTGAAGAAATTGTGGACACTGTCATAGTACCAGAAATGAATCAAAGAATGGTTTTGCGTAAGGAACAGCTCAAATATCAGCCGTTAGCTGGCTAACATTGTTTTATATGAAGATTTTGACAGCACCAGTGCTAAGTCATTTCAAGGGGGAACATCTGAGTAAGGTATAGTTGGGATAAAACATGAGAGATCTTACAGGAGTATGTTAAACAAAAAGCTAAGTAGCTGGCTAGTGTTTACTACTGTCAATATATGAAAAAACTTTTATATAATTAAAATGAATAATAAGCTGGTCTTATACTGATAGGCTGTAGTTACAGTCACTAAGCAGCACTTAAAGACATAAACTAGATCAAATGACGCCAAGGTGGACCTGCTTGGCTGGTGAGACCGCTATGGTCACTGCACTGGAAAACTGGCAATGAAAAAATCTTCCATTTTGGTGCAATTAGCAAGCTAGCTCACTCACTAACCATAAAGAGTAAAACACAAACATAACATTATTATACCAGATAATAATGTTACATTTTTGTGCAGTTTATGTACACTAAAAAAGTCTAGATTGCTGGCGTGGTTGGTAGCAGTGGGTGGCTGGCATGTGCAGCTGCATTTACTTAGCAATTAAGAAGCTGAATAACTTGCCTACTATAGCAAGTAAAATCACAAAGTTTAAATATACCATCTAATGCAGTCACCCAGCTGACTGTGTATCATACAGTTACTGGTGTTTATCGCCAGTAGGGAAGAATTTAAATGTGTAAATTGTCATGCTTATGCATTGCTAAAAGTAGCGTTTCCTTTATTTTGGATCTTCAGTGGTGCTATATGAAGTCAAAGTTGAACTTGATGCAAAGTTTTATTTGGGAAATTTATTCGCTCTGGATGACTAGGTCACAAAACTTCTCATCTCCAATAAAATCCTTTGAATTGAATTGAATTTTGCTTGTGACATTTCACTGACAAAAGCTAGTGTGACTGGGCCTTAATACATTATCTGAGAGAAGAAACCATTAATTGACTATTCAGCTAAGTTTGCATCTTAGCAAGCAAATTTTGTTCAGCATACATAGATTTCCTGCATGACAGACCAACCATTATGAGCCTGATTCTTTTGGACCCCTCAGTGGAAGGAAAGCCTCAGACGTGGAGCTAAGCCGTGAGAAACTAAATCCTGTGTCTGATCTCTTTAAGAGAATTCACAGTGTGTAATTACATATGCAGCGATAACGGGGGTTAGTAATCCACTCCCGAGTTCAACAAAAAACCTGTTGCCATTTCTTTACTGAGCACTAATTGTTCCATGTTAAATCGCTCTCAAAAGATTGATGCCTGTTAGTGAAAAGCAGATAAGGTGGCGTAGTCAGTAGCAAAAGGACAGTAAGATGCGAATTATAGATGTTCGAAGGTAGTTTGGAGACAAATGTTGACAGTTGCATTGATTTACATGTGTACATTCTCATGAGTGAGAGAGTGTATGTGTGCATGAGAGAGAATGTAGTTTTGTAATAACAGTTGCTAGTAGAGAGTAGACCTGTGCTTTGTGCGTCTGAATGAGTTCTCATGTATGTGTGTGTATGTCTCAAATGTGTTCTCCATCCTTCTAACTGTCTCTCCCTCCTCCTCCTGCCTCCAGGACAAGAGCTCCCAGGCCCTCAGCCTCAGTAATGTGGCTGGGGTCTTCTACATCCTGGTGGGGGGCCTGGGCCTGGCCATGCTGGTGGCCCTCATCGAGTTCTGCTACAAGTCGCGAAACGAGGCCAAGAGAATGAAGGTGGAAGCGCCTGAACAACTCCGCCCCTCTAACTCACCTGTCCCCGCCCCCCTCCCCAGCCCCGTCCCCAGTCCACCCCACCCCACCCCGGGGCCCAGTCCCACCCACAGCACTCAGAGCTTAGCCACATATAGAGAGGGTTACAACGTCTACGGGACTGATGGCGTAGAGATGTAGGCGCTCAGACGTACGTAGGGTGCCCTGCTGTAGTAAGTGGAGCTCCTCTGTACCGCTGCAGTAGCTTTGCCGTGTTGAGCGTGTGAACCCGTGGTAAAGCTGCTTGTGTTTTGTGACGTCCTCCATCTCGTCTCCTCGCCGTGTGCTCCAAAGTGGAGACTTCTGCATTTTGCACATTTGTCTGTAGCCATAATAGCCATATTTGAATCATATTAGTGCTAAAGCTGTTGTTGGTCCAAAAAATCATAACTGATCCTGCCATGCTCTGCCCATAATGCATTCTTTTATAGCTACTGTTGTGAAGTTGAGCAAGTTTTACAGAACACTAGCAAAAATCCAATTTGCCATAATGAGAAACTGCAGAGCATAACAAAGCTTTTAGGCGTACATTATAAAGTATAAATACATTTAGAGTGCATTATTAATTTTAAATGATATTTCTTTTTATGCATGTGAAAGGTCAGATTGTGAGTATTTTTTGCCATGAAATCAAGCATTTATGGGATAAACATTTGATTGATAGGCTGCAGAAGTCTCTGCTGTTTTAACATTAGCTTGCTAAACTCTTGTCTCTGTCCTTCACTGAGTAGCTTGAGCAGTTTTCATTGATGTAGCTTATGGAAACAAACTATCACTTTCTGTTTTTGCCATAATGTTTGAATATATGTATGGCAAATATGACGGGGAAAACGTGGGCAAATATGAGTAATTTCAGCCATTCTACAACAGCTAGTGGTGTAGGCTACAATGTTAATTTAGCTTGCTAACAACACTAAAGTAGCTAAAGCTGGTTAACTCTCTGCTTAGTTTATCAATCAGATTTTCACATGCATACAAAATTAATGTCATATGAAATGAATGCAGACTAGGTGTTCTGATAAAACTGAATTGTGTGCTGTAGTTCCTCACTCGGTTATGATTTTTGCTAATTAATACTTTTGTCAACGCTCTGTAAAGCTTGTTTAACTATGCACCGGTAGCTACGAAAGAATGCATTTGTTGGCAGAGAATTGATAGGCCCTGCTCTCTGGGTGGGAAGGATGGCCTTGTTTCCCTCTCGTTCTATCATTTAATGTGACAATAGCCAGTATGTTGAGTCCAGGTCACACTGACCCAACATCCCCCAACAAATCCAAACCCTGGCTTAGTGCTCCAGAACTGTGTGACTGTTGGGAGATTCTAGAATGTTCTCCCTACAATTCAAACTGGTTAATTTCTGGTTCAGTTTTTCTGCTGCATTCAAGATCACATCAGAACTGGGAAGTCTGAGACTTCCAAAGGGGAAAAATTCATTTGAATGGCTCTCCAACTCATATTTTCCACTTGGAAAGTCTGTGTTTTTCAAGAGCTTCTTTGAACTTCTCTGAGTTGGTATTCCTGCAGTACATGGCAGTGCTCAACCACTAAAAGGACCATATTAAAAAATCTCAACCAATCTGTGGGTTTTTATTTTGTTTTTACTTAACATTTTGCCATGACCCCAACTGGCCATTCTTTATTCAAAATATGCCAAAACTACAATGTCAAAAAATAGGCACTGGATACTTAAATGATTCAAAAATAATTTCAAATAAAACAATTTTTTTTAATATAAAACAATAGACTACATTAGCTGCAGTTAATGGGAGTGGGAGCACGTTGCAGGGCATGCTGGGAACTGTAGTGCAGCTCATGGTGAAAAGAGCTAGTAATAATAGAAAATTAAGTCAATTTTTGCAGACCGAATAGGGTTGTGCCACGGGCCCAACTTGGCCCATGGGCCTTGTGTTTTACACATGGGCCATAGAATAAGAAGTATTAACATGTTTTAAGCAGCCTTTCAAGTTTCTGGGTTTCAAGTTTGTGTATGATATTTCATTTGTGCATGATATCTCTAAACACGTGGATGCTTGAATAACAAAAAGTTTGAGTGAGGGTGTCGAAGACTTTTTAGCTGCGTGCTGTTGTAATTTTTGTCCCTATATTAATGGTGAATTGCCATAGGTTACATTCATTTGTAAAATAAAATAAGCATAATTTAAGCCAATAAAATTCTAGTTTTAATTCCAGTGAAAAAGTATTGAAAAAGTCTTTTAAATGCATTCAGCAGCTAAATACTGTGAGCATCCTTTTTTTTTTTGTTTTATTGAGAATGACCAACAGTTGAGGTTGTTTACGTGATTGGTTGCTTTTGTTTAGAACTACTTTAGAACGTCTGTGAAAGTAGTGAGAAGTAGGAAGCACTGTGTTTAAAAATCCTCAGTTCCCATAGGTCATGAATGCAGCACTATTACAGAACAGTTTAAAGCCAACTGTCATCAAAAAACTAGTGTTTGTTGGGGAATGTAAGGTCAGTTTGCAGTGGGCTTTAGCTCACATAACAGAAGTTAGCATTCTCTTTAAAACACATTCAGTTGTCCAATGACATTGCATGAGCAACAGCTTGATAAGATATGCTGGTTGGCCTCACGTGCCTCGGAAGAAGCACGTTAACCCTCTCCTCCCAGCTTGGTGGCATTTTGTGATAGGTTGAGACCCAGCTAGTGGGTGGGAATTGGCAACAACTGAATTGGGAGAAAAACGGTAAAAAGAAGACTTTCTTTAGGAAATTCATTAACCACATTGCAGAATAATATAGAGCAGCAGCAGATAAAGAAAGAAGCCTCACGCACGACAAGACATCAAACACGACTTGTAAGATTCCATAATGTGCACAAGTACATCTGTGAGCCATAATCTTTTTCACTACAACTCAAAAGTCTTCATTAGAAGTGCTCATTATTAAACAGTAATCTGTAGCTCTGTAGAAATGCAGGACTTTGCCAGATGCATTTGAGATGCTTCATCGCTGAAGTGTGTTTTAATCTGTTGTTTTGTCTGTGCTTGCTGATAATGTGTGTTCACTCAAATAATGATGATCTTGTGATGCTGCTCTCTCTCTCTCTTTAAACCTGCGAGGCCTGACTTGTTTCTTCTCTCTCTCTCTCTCTCTCCCCCTCTGTGTCTCTCGCCTTGCCTTTTTCTCTTGTTTACATCCACTGCAGCTGACCTTCACTGAAGCCATGCGGAACAAGGCTCGACTGTCAATCACGGGGAGTGTTGGCGAGAATGGGCGTGTCCTGACCCCTGACTGCCCTAAAGCTGTCCACTCTGGCCCCTCCCTGCGACAGAGCTCCGGACTGGCTCTGGTTTCATCCGACTTGCCGTGAAAACCAAAAACGATCAAGTGCCTTAAAAATTTCCACAGAACCACGAATAGCAGAACAACCAACCCAAACAGCAACAACAGTATCGAGGTGAGCAATCACCGTGACCAATTTTTAGAAGGATGATCAGGGGGCCCTTCGGCTGCTTCATACACTGAAAAACACTGGGGGAAAGGATACAGATTCACTGTGGGGTCGCAATGAGATATGCGAGAGATATTTTCAGCACAGACAGCAACACGTCTGCAACCACCGCTTGCAGCCTCTGTAAAGAACTTGTGCTCAGGGATGCACAAGCAGGAGCTAAAGAAGAGGACAAAGAGGGTAAGAGGACCACTAAACTGTAATTCTGAAACACGACTTGACTTGAATCGTTTGGCAAAACGCTTGTTCTAATACCTGGCCAAACTAAAGCATTGAGACATAAATCTCAATATGGATAGCTAATATGGGCATTCGAATGTCCAAGAGGGTTTCTATTGTAACATGAATAATAATAATTCAAACAGTATTAATGATACGTACTAAAAAACTGTGAAGAAAAGTAAATGTATATTCTATAAAATTATAACTGAAAAAAATTATTTACATTGCTCTGTAAATAGAAATGAAGACTGTACAACTCGCTTGCTTTTTAAACAAATGTAAATAGCTGATTCTGTAGTGGACAAAGTATAATTCTCTTTTATAACCATCTTTAGAAAAGAATTCATTGCAATAATGAATAGAAAATTGTGAAGAAACAAAAAAATAAAAATGGTTTATTTATATAGACTTACAGTGTGTGAAAATCTATAAAGTGAAAACAATGGGCATGTTATCAACTGCAGTGAAAAAGTGCTCAGCTGAATCTGGGGGAAGGGCAGTTCTATGATATATCTGAATAAAAGCCCTTCCCCTGCACCATGCCCTGCATACTCACTGTGCAGTTGTAGACCATGGAACTTCTAGACTGTTTTATTTTCCTCAGAAACAGACTTTATTTTTTTTAGTTTACGTGGTTGGTCGAATCACACATGACAGTTGTTCATGTCTGAATTTTTTCAGTAGTTTACTATTTCAGTGTCTGACCGTTTCATTTTAGAGCAGCCATGTGTTCATGAATGAAATAACGAGAATATATATGTGGGTGGTAGGAATTCTTATGTTAAACATGATACAGGAAACAACTTTTCACTGAAGCTACTTTATCAACTAAAAAAACATAAAACGCGACAAAAAAGAGGGACATGTATAGAAAAGAAAACTCTGAAGACACTGTCGAGAGCCATGGTCAGAGCCCAGCTTTGGCCTTTTCTACAAAACACTGTGTAACCTCAACCAGGCCTTTGAGCATGTTCTCCTCCAGAACCTGTAGCAATGGAGCCATCTCCAGCCAGAGGAATGAATCCGTCCGCACAGGACGCTGGACTTTACGAGACATCTGGACATAAAGGACAATGAAAGGACATAAAGGCTTCAGGGCACCACAGTGGGACACTGACCTATCCTCTTCAACCGACTACTGCCCAAACCTCCTTCAGATCCACATTTTACCTTACAAAGTGCAATTTCTGCTCTGTTTTTATGTTCAGATGAAAGGCAACTACACATACACCTCCATAAACACAAAACCTCTCTCTGTATTTCTCACAATCTGCTTTTCTGTCTCTTTGTCAGTCTTTTTTCTGCTTCTTAAATAGAGACATGGAGCCCTCTAAATGAATCTACAATAACACTTCCTATAAATGCTGTGTATGTGATACATTAGAAATTATTAAGTAAGTACTTATTACTAAATACTTAGAGTTAAACACATACCACATTATAAAGCAGGAATATGATGCATTATGAAGACCAATTACATAATAAATATGCTATTAACAGTAAATTACAATAGTATTGGAATCATAAATGTTGCATTGTAACTCATGCTCTGGTTTTCTATGTCTGATTTGGGCGTATGTTATGATGTATTAAAATATATGACTTTGGTTTGTCGTAGGACGTAATAAAGCGTTTTTCTTTAAGATCTAATAATGTAAGATCTGAGAATTTCCCAGTATTAATAATGCACTGGAAACACTGCAGCGTATGTTATCAAACTGTTAATGAACAATATTCTGTAACTTGTTTCAAAGGCTTTATATTCCTGCTTATTAATGTGTCGTGTACATACTCATGTAGCTGTAAGTGCTTTTAATGGCTACGCCATTCATTACAATTCATGCCACATATTATTAAATGTCGTCAAGTTGCTTCTGACTCCCGGAAAAGTGATGTCAGTTTCAAGCATTCTCCACAATATCCTGTCTTCTGTATGGGTTTTTAGGCTTCTCTTTAGGATCTGTTCATCCTAATCTAAGCATGACTGTCCTTTTCAATGAATTGTTGCTTCTCATATGTTCAGACTACAGAGTTTCAGTTTGGTTAAGTGGGATAAGAGTGAGAGGTGAGGTTTGATTTGGTCACAAATCTATTAGTTTGTTTTCCTTGCTGTCCAAGGTACTCTCAAAGTCTTCACCAACACCAAAGTTCAAAGGCATCAGTATTTTACCTGTCCTGCTTTTTATTGTCCAGCTTTCACATCCATAAAGAACCACAGAAAAGACCACAGCCTGGACAGTCTTCACCTTTCTTTGTAGATGCACATCAATACATTAGAAGATCTTTTCCAGATCCTTCATCCTTGTCCTGCTGAGTGCCAGTCTGTGTTGTATTTTGACTGATAGATCCTTTGTTATTAATAATTGATCCAAGTAAGCAAAAGCTGTCCACCACTCCTACATCTTCACCATCAATGCATTCATAATGTATTTCGTATACAGTATTCACAGGAAGTGTTGCTTAATTTATTCCCTCACATCAGTTCAAATCTGAAAAGTATCAGTAAGCATGAACATCTTTTATAATTTACCAATCTCATAAACCAACCGCAAAACATTCACAGACAGTCCAAGCACTGCATCTCTGCAAAAGATTATTTACACAGAGCAAATTTATGTTGGACTCTGTGCTTATGAATGAAAGCTTTCCATATATTAGGGTTCTTTTCTGAAATGTAATTTTGTGTATTAGAGAAAATGTGCTGGATCAAGTGCAATTTTTCCTTTCATGTAGTAGGGTAGATGTTGCCAGAAAATGAGTTATCAAGCAAAGTTCAGACCCCTGAAAAAGTTGTTTCAGTACTTCAGTACAGTGAGGAAGTTTGTTATCACCACTTAAAACTCAAATAGGTACAGCGGCCCTGGTACACAGTGAGAATCATTACATGTCGAGGGGCCATGAGCTTTGCTCTGTAGCTCTGTAAAGCTCAAAGGAGCTGAGTGTCCTACATTGGCTAAAATTGTAAATATTTATTTTGATCTTCATTTTTTAGTAAAATATTAATGCCAAATGCTCTGTCTTTGTGTCTTTATTGGGGACCAGTTGCATATGTTTGGCAGGGCAACAGAGTAGCTAAACTTACTGGTTGGGTTGGTGACCTGCCACAAAATGATACTGCATATCACTCTGCATGGTGAGGCTTAAGGTAGCAGGCCTTGATGTGGCTTTTTATGATGTATGTGTACATGGAAACACATCATACACTGAAATAACTTTACTCAAATGTGTGCATTATTTCACATGAATACAATACAATACAAAGCTCCATAGAAAAGCACTGTCAATAGAATGGGACACTCTGGAGCCGCCGCACATGAGCCCAAGGTTGCCGTGCCCAATGCCAAACTTTGGCTAGACAGGTATAAAGCACCCCAGCATTGGGCTTTGGAGCAGTGGAATTGTGAACTTATCATCCAGCGTCAGTACCTGACCTCACTAATGCTCTTGTGGCTGATGGCTATTTCTAGTGTAGAGCCTTACCAGAAGAGTAGAGGCCGTTACTATAAAAAACAGGTGGGGCAAATTCCCTGTTCCTACACATGCAGGGATATGGGAAGTAGTGCTGCAGCACCCCTGATTTCAGGATTGTTGAACTGCTTTGCTAAAATAATAAAAAAAATATATATATAACTTTTTAAACTTTTAATTTGAGTGCTATAAAGACCTGTGTGTGTCTTTATGTATTTATGTTTTATTCCTGTATTATGAAAATCAGCAGAGGCCAAGTAAGCACTGCTTTTTCATTACAGTGACAAAATCACTTCCCTTTGGGTCACTATAACACATTTAGATGTCCAGAGTAGAAATGTCTGCAGATCTGTAGGCTGTAAAGTCAATTAAAGTAATAATTGTATACATAATTTTATCATTATATCTCTTGCTATAACTCATGTTCAAGTGTTGAATCTCATTGTGCAGTCTGACTGATTGAGACCAGTGATTGAGTTGTAAATAACTTTAAGGGTGGATGGTCAAGTAAGCTGACCATTTTCAATGTTACCTACGGCAGGCAGGGTTGCCAGGTCAAAGTTTGCGTAAAAACTACCCATAAGAAGCTGAAACTTTATAATTTTCACCCACATCAGCATTTTCAAACTAGCCCAATTTGGCAGACAAAATGCAATCCTAGCAACATTGGCAGTGGGTGTGCATGCTGTACCAAACACTCCTAATAAATACATATATAATACATTACCAATGAAAAGTGAACGTGCATGGCTCCATTGGTGAAAACACTTCTATTTTGCATTCCTTTCTAATCTAAAGTTTCCCATTACAAACATTATCAGCATAACAATTTGAGTGAAAAGTAGGCCCTTTAAATGTTTACATGAATTTCAGAATTACTTAGAATTTGCTGTCACCCTTGTGACAACATGCGCTCAAGCTTGTCAAAGTTTATGCAAAAGCCTCAGTAGATCAGATCAAATACACATGATAGTTGTCTATAGTTGTCTAACATGAGCTTCAGTGGAGGAAATAAGGCTAAAAAAAACTGCCCTTAACATAGTCAGTTTCACAAACTTGAATAATGTCCACAATCGGTTACCATACCATAAATCAACCATTTGATTAGTTGCCCCAGAGCTTATTTGCATAACGCTCACTCAGAACAAGAAAGAGTGTGCATTAGCAGTCTGATGTGTCAACTTCCCTGTACATATATATATATATATATATACACACACACACACACACACACACAAATGGTGTTCACGTTTGAAATAAGTAAATTCAAAGCATTTGTTTTTCCAGTGTAGACATGAGGAGCTGTGCTGTGATGGGTATCCTGACAGCGAGTCCACACCTCCTCTTTAGCCCATGACTCAAAATAATAGGGATTGTCCCTTAACAACAATGGCAGTCATTAAAACGTACGCAGAAAGTATTCATTAAAACGTGTGGATCCACAAGACAGCTGAATAACAGCTAGGTTGATGAAAGGCAAATTTGCTGTGCACAGTATAAATACACTAATGCCTAACGATCAGCCTCAGGGCAACCCCCCAATCAAGAGTGGGTTTCTACTTAACTGTGGAAGAGGCTTCCAAAAGGCTAGGGATTTCTCTTGCCTGGTCTTACAAAGACTGAGCTCTGATCGATTGTTCTTGCCTGGTTCTCAAAGGTTTGCACCATTTCCTTTGCAATGTTTTCTTTGCCCAAATAACAAAGAAAGCCACTAAACCTTTAGCTTAGCGTAGCTGGTGATCCTGGTGGAAAAGAGGCAGACCATTACTGGACGATTTACATGGTCAGAGGAGGGATCATGTAGAAGATTATGCTCATTGTTTTCTCACTCACTGTTGCATAAGTTTTCTTTAGGAAGCTCCCTTTCCAAGGCATGCCCTGAAGGAGTATAGCTTTAAAGCTGTTGCAGATATCTCCAGATGGACTGTATGTGCAAAAAGTGTCCAGACACACCTTCTAATTAGCAAATTCAGCTACTTTAAGGTGCACCCACTGCTGACACAGATGTTTAATTGCACAGCTTATATAATTCCCATAGAAAAGTACTGCCAGAATGGGACACTCTAGAGCAACCACACAGGAGCCTAAAGTCACCATGTCCACTACTGACGTAACGCCTGGATATTTTTAATAGCTCTGGATTCAGCCTTCTAAACAATAAAACAGCAAAATGAATGAGTGCAACACTGAAGTCACACCAGCTCTCTCTGCTCCTCTTGAGGTGGGTTTACTTACTTCGTCTATTTAAAAGTTCACTTTCTGCATTATGTGGATAAAACAGTAAATCAGCTGAACAGTCCACTCAGCATCAGCTATTCAGACTCCCGTGTGGAGTCACACTGATTATATTCCGTCTGACTAGCTCAGATTACCAACTGCGAGTGTAATGAAAATTAAATGACTCGCGAACGGAGGAAACAGGTGTGTTAAGAAACCACACAGGTTTACCACACAGATGAACCCAAAGCTGACATTTTTAAAGTGTATTTGTAGATTTGAAGACCGGTAGAAAACATCGTCCTGCCCTCTGTCTTCGTATGGGGTGTACTTTAAAGGTCACACAGACACATCTCTCAACAAAAATACCAACGTACACGCTGATAAGCAGCTAGCAGTGGTTGCTAAGCAGTGATTGAATGGCCGAGGAAAATGGGGCGGGTCTTCAGCTGATCTGATTGGCTCAGTCGCTGATGTTAGCAGGCTTGTCTCGTCCGTGCACTGTAGTACGGCGCACGGCTTGTGTCGTGTACTGGATACTGTACTATATACTACTGATAAAGAGTAGCATGCAGTATACAGTATATACAGTACACAGTATATACACAAACACAGCCACAGATTTAGGTTCCCTGGGTCTGTAAGCACTTTCATGTTCATTGTTGTCATGGAGCAGGTGGATCAAATCAGTTGTACTTTACTTCTAGTAGTACATTTGAAAACTGTAATTGGACAGTTGGCACATTAGACCCTCCTCTTTTTAAGCTATTTAACAATGTTATGCCAGTTGACTGTTGGCAAAATAATGACTGAACCAATTCTAAACCGTTCACGACTTAGGAATCTTCTCTAAGCACTGTTTTGTCCATTAAACATAAGAAAACTCCTGAGAACCTGAAGTGAGAACAGTGGCAGTAAGTTAGATTTACTAGGCTCACAGATGTGAAAAGGTGTTATTGAGGAATGTTTAATTAAAACACACGCTATCCTGATTATCTAGAGAGCGGTTGTTTTTATTTCATTCTGAATGCTGGTAAAGTTTTGGAGTACATTATGTGGTAGACATACTCACAGCTTACTGTTGCTAGAAGAAGCAGCTAGACTTTATGTTGTTTACTGTATTTGCCATCACTCATTTTAAATAGATTTCTAATGATAAGTACTATTACAGAACAGTTAAGATCATTAGCAAGCCAACTAAATTAGCCTTCCTTAACTGTTATTATAGATTAAACAGGCCTGTACAATTAAGAAAAACATTATGTGCAAAGATAAATACTAATGCACTCATACATGTGCCATCTTTTGCATGATATTCTTGAGTTTTATTAAAACATGTCCTTTTCAGCATAACATTGCACCAGATAGCTCTAGTGTTAGCATCAGCATTAAATCATCTGAAGGAGTAGACTCTGTTACTCAAAGCTCTGATTTGAAAATCTGTTACTGTCCCAGCTGAGGTTCTCCCTGGTTTTAATATTAACATGCTTTTCCATAGTTCTTTTTGCTTTAAATGGACTTACATACATATTTTCTCAGTTATTAGATGTATTTCAGCACTGAACATATTGCAAATCTAGTTTATTTTTTAATAATAACATGTTTTTAAAAGCGCTCTTCTTTGTTCTGCTCAACTGTAGTCTGCTAGCACAATAACTATGGACACTACAGCCTCCCTCTTACGCACTTCACATGTTTTGTCCCTGCTAAAGTACTTAAAACCTGACCACCAGCCCTGCTAGTGTAAAGTCACTGGGCTTTAGCCAGTGGAGCAATGGAACTGTGATGTCTGGAGTGATGGAGCAGGAACAATCTAACACCTTTAGAAAGAGTTGAAGTGATGATTGTGATGCAGAACCAATCATCCAACATCAGTACCTGAACTCACTAATGTTCCTATGGCTGAATGCAGTCAGATCCTCACAGCAATGTTCCAACATCTAGTGTAAAGATGAGAAGATTAGAGGCTGTTACTGCAGCAAAGAGGAGGCAAACTCCCTGTCAATACCATTGATTTCAGAGGAAACATTAGATGAGCAGGTGTCTACAGATTTGCAGGTGTCTACAGAATGACCCGCAGCCCTGCAGTACCCATCATTTGGTACAGGATGTACAGAAAGCCAAGTACTAACATGCAAGCAGTGGTACATTCAGTACAGTACATTCTGTAGCTTATGTTTTAGTCCACTTCACTATGAATCCATAAACCCACAATGGACTTTCAGTTCTCATCTTCCTCTTCGCTCTTGCTCTTTTCTGATGATTGTGCACTGCAGCTTTCTGTCTTACGCCAACAGACCTTATCTTGCTCCACCTACAGCAGCTAGGAGGACGACACTTCATGCATTGCATACTAATCTCCCATTATTGAATATGTGGATTTCCAGCCTGCTCATTATTGCCGCCCATGAAAGCTCTCCTGCAGGGAGAGAAACCAGCAGAGCATGGTCAGACACGAGCTCTAATACGGTGAAGTGTCCAGTCCAATTCTCAGGATTGTTTTCATGTTTAATGATATTAAAAAAAGTGTTTGCAGAAACACTGTGGATCATTAAGCCCATACGCAAATACACTTTAGAAGGAATCTAATTTGAATTAGCTTTTACTAAAGAACCATTTCAAACACGAATCAAATTTGAGTTACACCAGTAATTCAGTATTATAGTAAATAGCTGTAGTTCTGTCATCATGTGATCCAAATAGATGGTCAAAGTGACCCTGCTGCAGGAAATTCAAGGTCAGAAAGCAGTGACCTGAGCATAAAGGTCAATCGATGTTAGGATGCGCATTCTTCATTTCATGGACACCTTGCTGAAAGGCAAAAGCTCTATGCTGCAAATAAATATTGCAGAGCGGCAATGTTTGGAGAGGGGGAGGAATAAGAAGCCCTCCTCCTCCAACAGATGTTACTACATATGTCAGAACTGAGAGAGAAGCACTAATGACCTTCAGGGGAAAAAAAGGAACTGGAGGACCTCCTTAGGAACTGCAGTTTCTTTGTGCACCTTCTGCTCTGATTTCATGTACGCTGTGTTGCCAGTTTATTAGATACGTATAGGTGCACTTGATAAACAAACAGGTACTTACTGTACCCCCTCTGTTAATGTGACATTTGTCAGTTATCCTCTACTCTGTATGACAATAGAAGGAGACCACTATTAGTAAGCTGGCATATGTATAAATATATTTATGATAAAAATTAAGCAAGGTTTTATGGCTGCCTGAGTCAGGGCTTCCATTTTCTGGTGTTAAATGTTGTTGTGGACCTAAATTTCTCCAATTTTGGGTATTGAATTTTGTTGTGGACCACAATTATTCCATTTTCAGGTGATGACTGTTGTTGTGGACCTATTTTATTTAATTTTTTGGTGTTTAAGGTTGTTGTAGATCTAAAATATTCAATTTTTTTGGTGTTGAATGTCAATGTGGAATGTGGCTGTCGGCCTATTTTTCTCCATTTTCTGGAGTTGAATTTTATTGTGGACCTAAAATATTCTATTTTCTGGTGTTAAATGGTGCTGTGGACCTATATATATATTTTTAATATTATTTTTTGGTGTTGAATGTTGTTGCAGACCTAAATTATCCCATTTTCTGTTGCAGGATGTTTTATGAACCTACGTTTTTCCATTTTCTATTGTTTGATGTTGGCAGCAAAAATTGATTCTATGTTCTGTTGTTTAATGTTGATCTTGGTATGAATTTCATAAGAAGCCACGGCAAGCTTGAGGAATATTGATTAGCTACCCAGTTGACTAGCCACCACTGACGCACTGCTGAGGAGCTGAGGTCATGGGGAGGTCCACACAAAGAACCAGCTTTTCTTTTATCATGCCATGCTCCTTGCTCACCATCTACATCAAGCTGTGGAGCTGCAGCAGGCCCTCTGGTCCACCCCCTTAGCCTCAAAATGGCAGGCGTTCGAGGGGGGGAAGGAATGGGGGGGCTAGGGAAATGCAGTGCAGCCCTGAGCGGTGGACTATTTTCATCCATTCACTCCAGCTAGGTCGCATCCAGTCACTGACTTGTGGATTATACAATCTAGACTACACCCTGGTTGAAGCTACAGGAGGCATTTGAATGATTTATTGTGTGTAATTGGTGTTCGGTTAATAGAGAGATGGCGCTGTGTCTGCTGTAAGTAATTTCCTCAGCTTTCTTGTCATGCTTTAAGTGCTCTTAATGCTTCCTGACACCCCTGTCATAAAATGTTTGGACATTATGCTAAGCACTGTCATTGGCCCACACCACAATAAGGCACATGTGTTGAAAAGTGGGACCATGCGTGTGACAGACTGCGTCTGATGTCAGATCAGCTGTCAAGTGGCATTAGTGCTTCTCCATCTAGACTGCCTGCTTCACTGAGCGATAGGACAAACATATAACATTCCTGTCAGGCCTCAAATCCACATGCACCCGCAGTGAGACTTGTGTACATTGCTGCCTAAAGCCTGAGGACCGAGCATAATGTGTTTTGTAATCTTGTGTTTCATATTGGACTATAAAATGTACACCATTGTTCCTGAATATGTTCAGCGCAGTGCTACACCACACAAGTGTGTAAGTGAAAGAGCCTTTGAAAAGTAAGGAACAGCTCCTCTGCTGCGTGGAAATTAATGAGAAATATTCCATAGCCAATGCTACCCCCTTGTGTGAAATACTGGTATTTCTCTAAATTTGATCAACTCCTGCACATATGTGTGAGGCTGAGCTCTTCAGCACTTCATGCTTTTATCTAGTTTTCACTTGTATGTATGATGGATCATCGGGATCTACTCCAATGTCGCTATAAAACCTCCACAATGATAGAAATGAACCAATTGCTATGATTTATTACTATTATTATTGTTGTGGTTATAGGTATTATTATTTACCTCGTAATGTGCTCATCCAAAATGTTTTATTTCTGTAGTTCTCTGAGCTTGCTTGACCCAAACTGATTTTGTTTGTTTGTTTTATTTATTTTAGTCCTAGTCTTTTGGTAACATGCACATAGTCAAATGGACACTGTTAGATGTTTACCTGAACACAATCTCATCACTTCAGACTTGTAGAGAAAAAAGTTTTGCTTGTTTTTGTTATTCATATTAACCATAGTTTTTTAAGAATTATTTGTTGTGATTAATTTGCTTTACAACATTTCATTTTGGGAGCATTTTAAATGGCTGTACTTTGAATTAAATCATGTTTGACTCTTCTGCAGTGTGCCTAACAGTGACTAACCAGTGTAACTAACGGTTCCATTTCTTTAAATAGGGAAGAGCAGGGTTGACTGGCACATTGATAACTTTTGGGTGAGCTGGGGGAACTCACACAAAAAATGATTTCCCTCTTGACCAGCATTCATCCACTGTATGAAAAGCTGTGCCACAAGAGCTCTGCTATTGTCACAAAAACATTATATTATGTGCTGCATACATATTTAATAACATACACTCCTGTTGAAAAGTTTGAACAGCCCTGATAAAATTGTTTTGTTGATATTTTAAGTGAAAATAAGTTAACACTCTAAGTTATTCATCTACAGAGAACAAGCTTAAATATAGCATTTATTCATCAAATTTTAGTGCACGTTTGCTATTTATTTGCTTAGTTTAACATGTTAGAAAAATGAAAACAAAATATGAAATGTGCCATAACAGGCCACATTTTATGCTTTTTTTTTAATTTAGCAAATTAGCAATAATTGGGAATTAAAAATGTGCAGCAGTGTGTTCTCTGTAGAGGATATGTTAACTTATTTTCACAACTATACAAAATAACACAGTTAAGTACAGCAGCTGTCTCACTGGTTACATTAAATTTAAATTAAATTTCGGTTCAAGCCTGGTCTATTTCAAGATGGTCACATAACTTTGAACCTAAACTATTTATGTATTACTTTAATGTACATTTTATCTTAACAGGTGAATGTTTAATTCCTTATATAGAAAAAAAGACTTCATAATAAACTGTTTGTTTTAATATAGGCTAATGGAAGCAGAATTTAGTGGCTGAGCTTTATTTTTCTTCTTATTGTTTTTCAATACAAACCAATAAACAAATAAGTGAAACATTCCTAATGTTTAATTGATTCTAAAACCTTCTTTGGTTCCAATGAATGTTTATTAGTTTGGTTATTGTATAATTTTAGAAAATATTGCTTTATTTTCTGTGCCAACCAAACCAATGTTGAAAGATCATGAAAGCTCTTGAGTCCAGATAATCCTTTTCTGACATTCATAGTGTCTGTTTTTTAGCTACAATGTTCAACTGTTATTTGCAACTGGGTTATTCTAATGTATATGGTACGCCTGGGATATACAGCAGCCAACCCTGCTCTCTACTACTGTATACAAGTCTATATCCTGTTCATTCATCTATACAGTGTCAGGTGGGTCTTCTAGCAGTAAGTTAGAATTAATGTTGCATGTCCTGCTAATCTATCGTTAAGTACAGAAAATAACCTCAAACTGACAGTTGGTAGAAGTGGTTTGCAGCTTACTCTCTTACTTGAGTAGCTTCTGAAAGCCTATTTTTATTTAAGTAGATTTTCTCTGAAGTGACATTATTGCAGTTCCGCCACTTTATCTGTCACATTTATATCAGCTCTTGTACTTTTTATGCCTTTTTTTCCTTGTTTGTTTTTGTGTATACCAGAGTCTGACTCAGTGTATAACGTTTTTCCATATCGTCTTTTTATTACACTGAGCTTTGATAATGACTTTAAAAAGCACCCCTTTCACACAGCGCAAGTGATTCACATCACATAAGCTGCTGGCCACTAGAAAGCTTCCTATACTGATCCAATACAAGAAAGACAGAGCGAGAGAGAGACAGACGACAACAGTTACAGTATGAATTCAGCCATGCACACTGATGAGTTTTTATATGTTGAAAATCTAGTTCATCTCTTAAGCAGTATATACAGCAAGTGCTTCTAACTCCTCTATATAGGTGCCATTAACATCATTTTTAAAGCCTTACAGATTTTCAGTATTTATCACAGTAGCTTACTGATTGTAGTTCATAAACAGAGACCACCACATAGCGCACTGATATCTGAAAGAAAAAAGGCCTAATACTGCTAAACGCAAAGACATTCACAGTATAAATAACTTACATTAGTTAATAACATTGCATTGAAATGAACTGAGTGACATTCTGGCAAATTTCCATTAGACCAAAGCAGCGTGTGATAAACGTAAAAGCAAACAAAGGAAAACTCACAGGCAAAACTGTCACCATGCAAACCCTGTGACCGTTCACAAATTTAAAGGGTCTAGAAGACATAAAAGAATACAGGCAGCATAAAAAAAACATGCATACGGGTAATAACACACAATAAATTATTAGTTGAGACCAAAAAAGGAGCAATAAAAAGCAAAATGACTGCAGATAGCAATGGATTCTCAGTGCTGTCCATTACGGCTTATTAGTGTCTAAATAACTAAGACTAAGTACTACAGGCACCAGCTGTGCAAAAGAAATAAACAATACTGAGCGGTCGCTTATTGCTTTGGTGGCTTGAACAAAAAACGCAACATTCGATGATTTTACATCAATACGAAAACACAAATAGTGTTTAAAACAATCATGAGTTGCGCATGATCACATTCACAAAATGCTCACTTTTTATAACAACCATTTTGGCAGGTAAATATGTTTTTAAGCTCCACTTCTTGGCAACAAATGTTCTCTACTTTGATATTTGACAGAAAAATGTGAAAAGTACAGATGGAGGTGACCTGAGTGAATGGTCACATTATTAATGGCTGAAAAGACTTTTCTATTCCATTCTGCCTAGATAGGCATGTTTTATTCTCATGTCATGTCTTATTTCTTCTAAAACACCTCTGTGTGTGCTACAGTATGTCTACACAGTAAAGACCACTTATCTCTAAATGCATTTGATATCAATGCAAGATCAATGCAAGTCATTCCTGCTGGCTGAGTAAATGCCACTACCTCTAATTCACAATGGCTCTTTGTACATGGACTAACAGCTCCACCTACTGGTAGATAGGGAGTTGTGCCACCTACGAGCGATGCTGAATGTCTCTGATTAACACAGCAGGACACATTAAAACCATGCTGACCATAGCCAATATACCTTACAATCGTTGTTGCTGCATTCAATGCTAAGGAACCCAGTGGCTTGACTATAATGTGGTGCAGTGAGATGCACTATTACAATCACCATGGTCTTCAGTGCTGGTGATCTGAGCTAACCACACATCTGGGCAGGTGTGTGAGAGGGGGGCTGTTCAAGCATGTATACTGACTTGTGTTTGTTGTGTGTGTGTAGGGGTGAAAGAGACTCCACACAGTTGGCAGTGATGAGAAGAAGCTAAGACAGAAGCTCAGGAATGGAGAGATGAGTCAGGGTCGAAGGGTCAGATGAACAGCTACAGGTTAAGGGGTCAGATGGGCAGCTACAGGTTGACCAGGTGAAGGTCAGAGGCAGTGAAATGGGGACACAGTGCCATGTTGGGATTCTTCAGCTGCTTGAGGATGCGCTTGTGGAACTTGGAGCGCACGCGGTTAAACTCCATGATGTCACACGGATCCTCCTCGATCCAGAACCTGTGGAACTCCTGCATCAGGTAACCTACCGAAAACATCATAGTGAGATAATTAAGACTGAGGGTATCCAAGACATTAATATATTACAGAAAGAAAAGGGAACCAAGTATGAGACTTAAAAATGTCAGTCTTGCACTTTTGAGCCCGCAACGTATCACTGCTGTATCCATGTTTATTGTTTTAATTTTTTTCATAATTTGAAAATGCCAGCTGTTCTGTACATGAAAATGTACATGAAAAAAATGATGATGAGTGGACTAACAGAAATGCTGCCCAATTACTTGTAATAAAATCTTTTTACATTAACTTACATTAACAGTTAAGACTGTTCTTTTTCCTTAAAACAGTTATCATTTTGGTAGTTTTGGAGGTTTTGCTTGGACTGTGAGGATATGCATGGACTGTAATAAAAACATAGTTTTTTAAAAAGAACTATTATTTTGCTTATTATTAGGCATTCATTTTTAATGTATTCCTTAGATTTTTTTATCTTAAAAAAAAAACATTGTAAAATATTACATTAATATTTTCAATAAAAAACAAATGTCAGAACCCAAAACATAACTGGATTTGCTGTTACAAGGTAACATGCACTTTACGTACAGTATTGAAGGGCCCAAGGTTGAAGCTAAAGCATTAGCCATAAAACAGTTGCTAAACCTATTTAGCTACAGTACCCTTAAAGGTGAATTCCACAGATTTTTCTGCACATTTCAGTCTTTGAGATGTAAACAAAGTCACTCAGAATGGTCTGACATGAAATGCTTTCCAGAGAAATTTACACTGAATTTCTTTACAGGGGTGGTAATAGGAACCAGTGGATTGTAATATCTACAACACAGATATGCCATTTACTATGCAAAAAAGCCAGTGAACCTTCACGTCTTCTGAGTTTTCATATGTAATGTTTCTTTTTTTGACTATTTTGCCTCTCCGACATGAATGTATGTAAAAAATATGTTTTAGGACAAAACCTCATCTAAGAACTATCGTTAAGCAATGTCTCAAACATCGTCTTGACTTCTGTTTTAATCGTCTGTTTCTATTGTTTTATGCAGTGATAGGCAGCACAGTTCAGCAGAGTTTTATTTCTAACAGTGTTTAAAAGGTTACAGACGCGACAGCTGATTGTCGACTTCAATCAAATAAGTTAAGATTTCCTAACTTGAGATAAGAAAAGATGCTGTAAGATAAGATTCTTAAATTAAGATAAGATTTGCTTCTGTAATACGAATCTGAAAAAAATCTTATCTTGACCTGTCAGATCTTAAGTTAAGACAAAAAGATAAGAATTTTCTGTAATATGTGATCAATATCTGTAATCAAGTCTGACTCATTTCCCTAGAATGGAGCATTTTACATCAAACCACTGATCGACTTTGTTGATTCAATTATGCACACATTCAAAACAAATGGAGGGATTTCCCTTTAACTGATAGCTAATAGTGCCAAGTACCAACATTAGTGAAGTTTGCTTATAAAAATTTGATTGATTTTAAATGATTATGTCTGAAAACGCCAGGCAAATACTTGTGGGAGACCACTAGGAACATTTAAGATGCGATAATGAAACTAAAAGATTATAGGCTAATGTAACTTCAATTAATGACAAAAAGCCTTATGCACAGTGAGGGTGAATTGTGCCTGTCGTAAAAATATTATTCAAACAACTGATCTAGATTAACCTGGGCATACATTACTAAGAAATAGACTGTTTCCACGTACAGAAGGTCTGCTGGAAGTGCACCAGGCTGGACATCTCTGGCGCCACATTGTACAGATGAGTCTTCAGCGCTCCGCTCACCAGCAGCGAGTAGGCCAGGTCCGTGATGTTGATGCCAACGATGGCGAAGGAATATCTGCAGCACAGCACACTGAGCTCAGTGCCTTCAGGCAAAGTGAGGAACAAAAACCAACATATTCTGTTCATAATGTTTAACAGTGCTGTGGGCCAGCTGTGTTTGATGTAAATATATAAATAAATAAAACAGCCCCATGGTTAATGACTCTCTGGTCCTGTAGTCCATTCTGCTTCCATTTGTCCATTTGTGTGCCGCAGTCTGTTCATGACCGTATGTGTGTGTATGGATGCGTGCTACACTGCCTCCATGGTGCACATCAGTGCTAATGCATGCTGAAAGCTGATGACAGGCTCGGGGAGCAGTGCCCTGTTTTGAATCCTCACACAAAGCCTGGAGTGTGGAGACACACTGCCATCCAGACAGGCTTCTACCCACCAAAACAGCCAGCTGCTAATGGCTACTGAGCAGACTGCAGCATTTACAGGAAACCAGAGCTGTAATATAGCCATGAAACTGGACTACTGCTATTGCAATTTCAAGAAGGAAAATGGTGCAAAAAATATTTCTATATATTTTCCTGGGGTATCCACCAATTCAAATAATTAATCATGATTAATCGCATTAATCAAAGCAAGCCTTTTCCGTTTTAAAATCAGTGCATTCTGTTACAGCTAGAGGAGTGGACAAAATATGCTTTGTTACAATGTCTTTGTTACTTTTCATTATTTCGATAACATTATTTTCATCACACAAAAACATGAATGTGATGGCAACAGTGGCTGCATGTTCAACCAATGAGTGTATAGACTGTTGTATGCAAACGTTTGCTCACTACTGGCCAGATTATATATTATATTGAATTTTTTTTTTTTTCAGTGAAAAGAAATAAACAAACCTTCTGCAGCAAACTATTCTAAAATATAAGATTTTTCTGCAAATGTTAAAGCTGCACTGTGTAAGAGTTGGATTGGGAGATCTCTCCAACGTGCAGAGAGACATAACATCAGTTCTGCTCTCGACCCCAAAAGCAGATGAATCAGATTGTCACCCAAAACTTGGTGAATGCAAGTGAATTATCTACTATTGTCATAATTTCTTTATTAGCATAATGTTTCACATTTGAGACCTAAACATCAAGCCGGACCTTGTTTTTAGAGCCTAAGTGTGTGACATTGACTTCCTGACTTCTGAATGATTATTTCAGGCTTTACAGGGTGACTTGCAGTAGTGCATGCACACCATATTTTGAGTCCAAATTGAGTCCAAAATTCTACTTCTTTCAATTTTAACCACAACATTGTACATACGTCCTAAGTGAAATGTGCAAATTAACAACTTTGAATTAAAGTTGTTTAGGATCTTGTTAAAGCTGTAGGAGCTGAAGGTGGCTTCCTGTTCGCCAGCTTGTTTTGTGAATTTAATTTCTGTTCCACTCCATCTTGACTGGTGCTGCTGTTACACTCTGGCACCTGTACAAGCTGCAGCATTTTAGGCAGAAAAGGACATTCGATTAAGAAGCTGGTGAATAGGAAGAGAACTTCAGCCTTGTTTAAAAATTAGTATCGACCCATGTTGGGCTTTGGTTGGGCCTTCAGAAAGAAAGTTGTAGGCTCCATGGAAAAGGTATAAAAAGTGCCGACATCCTCTTCGCAGCCTAGAACAGTACATTTCTGCTCACAGTCTGCCATTTCTTGGTGTTTCTCCATTATGGTATGCAAATTTTGGAGGCATAAATATTGATGAGTGAAGACTGTTACATAACAGGATTTTGGAATCGGGCCGTTTTACCGCCCACTATTGCAAATGCGGGATTTGTATTTGAAGAACGAAACAACAGTGTTTGAGGTTCATGGTGTGTCAGTCCCATGTACCATACTCTCCTTATTTACCAATGCCAATGTAAATACAGTTTTCCATTCTGTGGCACCTTTAATGCACTAAATTCTTCTTCTTCTTATTATTATTATTATTATAATTTAAAGTTAACCAAATTTAAATTAAATTAGTGTGTACACATTTACAGAAAAAAGTTTTTTATATAAATTTCTATATGATTGTTTCAGTCTGTTTCTAGACATTTTTACTAATAGAATAAGATAAAATTACTTAATGTTTAGAAACAGAGTGAAGCCATCATATAATGAGAAATATCAGATTTAGATCACTAATTAAAATGATTTTGCTTGCCAAGGTATCTTGTTTTTTGCAATTTGTACATGTGCAATGGGCCTGCACTACTTACCCAATCGCTTTGTCAAATTTCTTCTTTTCCCAATCAGCTTTGCTCATCTTACTGTGGGCAAACAGAAAGTGTTAGACAACAGTGAAGAATGTCTACACTGCCAATCCTCCAAAAGCTTTTCAAACACTGAATAGATTCCATCCAAATACAGAGAAAAAAAAACATGCAGAATGTGACACAAACAGAAGAATGAGACAGGAGAAAGCATTCACAGCTACTAACCAACGTTACAATGGAGCATAATGTCTTGTGTTTAAGGTGAGGTGAGATTGGAGATTAAGAGATAAAGGGAAAAATACAGCGATTAGATTAATACAAAATTATAAAATGGAGTTCTTACTGAGAGAGAAAAGATGGAGTACCTGGCTTCCTCTTTGGAAATGGTCCTGCACATGACAAAGTGATGACAAGAAATAAAACGAGAAAAAAAAGAAAAGGAACGTGTTGATATGCGTGACATGTGGTGACAGAGCATGCTAAACGTGTGAACGACCGAAGAGCATCAAATCTCATCCAAAGACACCTAACAGTGACACTACTGTAAAAACAATGTGATATGTATGGATAATGTTTGAAACAGAACAGGTGAGGGACATGTGCTCTGCCTGAACAGAAAGGTCATTTTATTTTGTAAAGTAGAAGGAAAGACCCAATTTCATAATTTCTAACGTTAAAGTGAACAGCTATTTAGTTGGCTATAAGCAAAAGACAAAAAAACAACAGAAAATTACAATGTTCATAAGAAATGGCATTTGTAAACTATCTGGTTATCTATTCTGTCATCAGTGTATGCTTACTCTATTAGAACAAAAAAAAAAAACTTACATTACATTTTTCAAAATTTCTGCATAATTCATTTGGTTGAGATGTACACAAAGTCACTCAGAGTGGTCTGATGTGAAATGGTGTGTAGAGAAACATACCAATTCAGATCCTTAACAAAAGAAACCAGGGGTGGCGATGCCCACAATGCAAATATAGCAATTTTATTTACTCTTTAAAACGACCAGTGAACCCACGTGTCCTCTGAGTTTTTATATATAACACTGATAATGGTAAAATAATGGTAAATCTGAAAAAATGTTTTTTATGGTTATTATTTTGCCTTACAATGCCTTTCATGTACTTCTCTACCATAAATGCATTTTAAAAAATACATTCTAGATCAAAACTTTATCAAAATACAATCATAAAACTATGTCTCAGGCTTCAAGCAATGTACTCATAACTATTCTATGTAAAAACTGCATGTAAAAATACTTTTGTATTGTATTTTACGTCTGGTTCCTATCACCACCATTGCAAACAATTCTCTAGAAAACCACATTTCACATCAGACCTCTCTGGATGACTGTTTACATTTTAATGTTTTAATTATGCAGAAAAACAAACTGATGAAATTCCTTTTAATCCTGTGATGTAATTTCAGATATGCTGGCCTGTTCTCTGCTTCTTGAATACCATCTAAGCTGAGTTCATATTTCTCTGTATTATGAAATGAAGAAGTTGATGACGTGTCTACACGTTGATTTAAGCAGGAGGCTCAGGCATGTGACAGTGAGGAGTATCTGACCTGTGTTTGGGCTGCAGAGAATCATGAAGCACTTGGAGAGCAGTGGCTTTGTCATGTTCTGCAAAATACCTATTACAGTGAAGGAAATAAAAAATTATCACAACCTCTGATTAACCAGCATTATAACTGAAAGTAACCAATTCTATTGGTGCCAGCTAAGATAACTGCTGCAATATTTCTGCATTTGCTGCATGTGAACATGGTGGAGACTGCAGAAACACTACAGAAATGTGCATAATAGCAAGTGATGAAACAGTTTTACTACCAGATTTGTTCTTTCACAGATGCACTTCAGACACTTCCTTCAGTGCTCTTATATAACAGGATACAATCCATCTTTCAGCCTACACATTTGGTCACCGGGATTGCTTTTTCTCACAGCCAGTCAGTGTAAAGAACAACACAAAGCATACAGATGCTCACAGAGATGCTATCAAGGCACAGTCAATCAAACAAATTCAGGAGATCAAGAGACCAAACGTCTGTCTGAGATACATACAGTATCCAACAGTGTCCGACATTAATTTGTTGTTATTAAAGACATTCCTGATCACCCATAGCAAACAGTAGCTGGTCTACAATGAGGTTATTACGCATGAGCTCAAAAGTGATTACTTACGTTTTGATATATACCAATTTCATATGAAATTACTCAATTATATATTTCATTACATAAACATTACGCAAGGAATTCAAGTCTGCACTTCTATTTTCCATTTTTGATGTCCAGAAAAGCATGGGGGAAAATGTAAAGAATGGCTTTTCTTTCTGCAAAACAAGACTTCGTGCATAATAATAGTGTTTCATAACTTTTCTCAAATTCAAATCAGTTTGTTTTAATGATCATGGGTGAAGAAAGATCATTATCAAAATACACCATGCTTTTGTTATCAGTGACTTTAACTATGGCTTAAGGTTTAAGGATCTTAAAGCATTGTATGTAGGGAACATAACTGGAAATGCACAATGATATCTGAATCATTGAAGTATTCAGATAATTGCTTAAAAACAAGATTGATATCAGATAGATGTTTAGATTTGACTAATACAAGGTGATTCAAAAAGATTCATCTGATTTCAAAACACCATATTTTTACAACCGTGGGGCGCCTAGGAACCAATTGAAAGAGGGGGTCATAGAGTTTCTGACTGTCACCGGAAGATGGCTCCCTTAAGTCTGTGAGGAGATGCGACCCCTGAGCAGAAAGTGTTTTGTTTTTTGTTTTTTGTGTTTCTCCATTTCGTCGGCAGTGAACCTCTAACAGCTCAGAGCGTTCGTCATTAGTTCCACAACACTGGATGATCTCCGAAATCACACTGAAAGAGCCGTGAGTGCAGCGACACCCGACATGCTCAATCGAGTATGGGATGAATTTGACTATGGTGTTGATGTTGTCCGTACAGCTGGAGGAGGCCATATTGTAAAATTTCATATTAAACGTTATGCTCGCTTAAACCATTTACAATTTACTGCATTGTTCTGTAATGATTTACAAGTGAAATAAATCATTTCAAAATAGGATCAATCATTTTAAATCACCCTGCATTTTAAAACGATATTTGATGATATATTTATTATAGTGTAGAATGTTTAGCAGAATTTTTAGGTAATGCTGAGCCAAATGTCTGCATTTCATTCATTTCGTAATTGTATAAAAATAAGGGCTATATTATTCCTTATTTCTATTTCAAATGGATGTAGTCTCAAATTCTACATTTTATAAAAGTTTATGAGTCAGTATTGTGATGTCCATAAAAATTTTGGAATATCAACATCAGCCTTTCCCATGTCAGTTCATCCATAAGCACAATGAGAATAACACAAGTAATTAAATCTGTTTGTAACTGATTACACCAAAATGTTCCTTCATTATGAGCCAGCTGTTGCTGTGGTAAACAATTTGTCAATTGATACTTTTGCACTAAAACTAAGCCGGATCGACCATGTTTAAACATTCCATTCCCAACAGACACACTCACAGTAGGTTGTGCAGACCCAGTAGACCCATGCCCCTAAAGTCAGTCTTAGGGTCACTGCCTTGGAAACCAATCTCACACCACTGCTTAGAGATGCGTCCAGTGAGGGGAGATTCAGGACGGAGTGCCTTCCAGAGCTGGACAAGAGAGAAGAGAAACCTCACTTACAATGATCTAGCGCAGAGTGATGAATGGTGCTTTGGCTCTAACCCGAATAAATATTTATGACTTTTATCTCCCAAAGTATTAGTGGTATGAATTCAGATCATCTATCAGTGCCGATACCTTCATAAGCATCTCCTCATGCTTTGGATTTTCACAGTCGTACGGTTCCCTGCGCAGCTTCTCCACCTCCAGCACCAGGTTCCTGTAGCCCACGATCTGAAAGAGGCTGGCCTGGAGAGAGATGGCAAGTCTGGGGAGAAGACATTCATATTAGAGTTGAAAGGAAATTAGGTCTCTTTTACATTTGGTCATTTCGTGTAACTTGTATCTGGACTGTATAGGTTGCTGCCTCAAAAACTGCAATGTTGCATGCTGTCGTTCATTTACTTACACTTAGAGGGTGGCGTCAGCATTGGTAATCGATATTTACATGAAGACACCTGTTTAGTCTAATTAGCCTCTTGTATTAGTCATGGCAGTCATGAACCATAGGCGTCATGACATAATGTACTGTAATGTACTTACGTAATGTAGTGTACTTACTGTACTTATGTACAGTACTTTGTAAAAGTCTTCATTAATTTATTTCCAGTCAGAACGGCTATTAAGTAAGAATTATATATATATATATATATATATATATATATCATCAATAAACATGTAAACATGTATATACTAAAATGCATCTCAGACCTCCTCCTGAAGTGGCCTGATTGATGTGCGCATTTACACTTGCTTTTTTAGGTCGATAATCCGTATCTGGATATAATCCTGATAGCGAGGACACATGAAACAAGCAGGTGTAAAAGGAGGTTAATGTTTTATGCTGATCTGTTTTCTTACTGTGGATTTGTGTCTGGGGTGATTTTTTTCAGGGCCATGATATCATCTATGGTCTTTTCGACAGCGTCTGGGTGGACACTGACAGCAGACTGGAGAAGCTGTTGAGGCAGAAGAGGTATGCAAGTATTAAGCTAAAAGAAATCTGCTAAAAGAAAAGTTAATGTATGTTTGTGATAAACATTTATGTACATTTATAAAGAACAGATGTCAACGGTTTAAAAGAAAAATCTTATTCAGCGAAAACTGTTGCTGTATCAACATGTGCTGAATGAAAGTGTGACTTTGATCATACTTGTTTCACTCACCTCATTTTTAGAACACTTTAGTGATGACTCTGCAATAAACACAGGCAGTGTTAGAATATCCTATCAATAACCTTCTGGTTCATGAGTTTAACCCCTTAAACTTTGTGTTTATTACAAAGTTTACAAATACAAAGTGTTCTTTTATCTACTATGAAACTAATATGTATGTGTAGGCTATGTGAGAGAGGAATCCAAGTCAGATCCATCCACAGTTTCTAAAAGTTTACGGGGTTAATACAACTACTGCTACAGATCATTGTTTTTTTGTATACCAATCTTGAGGGTCCGGCGAGCTCCAGGCTTGTTGTTATAACAGATACGCTGTAGCTCACATCGTCCTGTCACCTTCCTGATGACAAACTTTAGTCCTCGCCATAGACACTTGCAGTACAGAAACACCAGGAACTGGGTCAACACCCTGGGAGAGCGAGAGAGAAAACCTACACTGAGGAAAAGTGAGAGACTAACAGGCTCCGTCCACCCGGGTATTCTTTCCTAGAATAGAGAGAACTCACCTGAGGATCACTGAGAACTCATTACATTTGAGCAGTCTGAATAGCAACTGGACAGCATCATTATCAGCAATGTGTTCCCTATCAACAATACCGGGGGCTGTTTCAGGAGAAGCATAAAATGAAAATGGATTTTTCCTTCTTCTTTCCTGTCATTTTGGTGGCAGGCTCCTAATGTGAAAGCATGCTTTTTATAGAGGATAAAGAGGCTCATCTGGGACACAGAGGTAAGTGGGCCAGGGGCCGGCCAAACCAATTATGACATTTTGTGGTAAATCAAAGAAGCGCCACTAGAAATGGGTCACTGCGCTGCAAAGCAGCGGGCAATAAAAGAAGCAGCATACTGTATTACCAAATTGATATATTCCATAAGGCATTTGTCTGTCATCTATCCCTCTATCTAATGCTGGGCGATATATTATGTGTACCAGTATATCAGTATTGGTGCCACAATATTTATAGAAACCTTAACTACATGTATGTCATTTGTATGTCATTTGCTGAGTGTTCCAGACTGTGTTAAACAGGTTATCATACTTAAAAAGACAATAAATAGCAACGTTTACAATACTGTGCAAGGTTCCTTTTGGTGTAATATTAAGAGAAGAAAACAGAACAAAACAAGCTACGACACATTTGGAAAATATCACAATACTGAAGTTTATCAATATCGCCCAGCCTTACCTTTACTTACATATTCATCCATGCACCCATGCATCTGTTCAACTATCCACCCATCTATCCATCTATTAATACGAACATCTACCGATCTAGCCATCTATTCACTGCAGCTAAAAGTCAGTGCTATGCTAGTATTCAACCTGTTGGAGTCCAACTGGTGATGAGAGTTATGTTGACAATTACGGTTCATGGGACTGACACGCCTCCTCATTGATACGCAGCAGTAAACCTGAGTGCAATGAAGATAGAATTATCACGTTATAAAAGTACACTTAAAGAAGAAAATGAGGGCTCATACCAGCAGCTTAAGCTACTTCTAAATAGAGGAGGAAGCAGACAACAGAAAAACCATAGCAACAGGTATTCCAACACCTTGTGAATGGTTTCTTTGGGCAGTTCTTTTGCAATAACTGAAAAGAGAACTTCAGTCACTTTTTAACTGAATGGGCACTACTGAATAGGGATAGTGGAAAAATAAATAACACCTGAACAAACTGAATTAATTAGTAATTAATTAGAATTAGAAAGCGTTAATAATGTTTTTGTGTTTAAATTTTAGTAAATGTATGAGCTGGCCTCAGGTATGACCTGCACTGAACACAATGTAGACATTTATGTCATTACAATTTCATTTGTTGTTAATGAGCCATTCAGAAAAAAATGAATTTGGAAGGAGTTAAGCATAGAAAACAAATTCAAAGGTTACAGAACAGCCTGGTCAATAAATCTTGAAGAAATGAACGAACCTATTCCACATTCATAATAACAGAAACCTCTGGCTCAGGAGAAACATCTCCACGTTCTAGCAATGACCTCCATTTTAAAGCTTTAGTTATTCAAAAACTAGCAACATAGACAAGTAGCTTGCTAAACATGTATAATAAACATGTTCGTAGCTGAATTATTTAATGGCACCCGTTTCTTACCTTAAAAAATGCTTCATCTCTCCTGTTTAATGGCCCAGATTCACTTGCTAAGATGCCCACCTGCAACACATCCAAAACCAATGCTAAACCCAGTGCCTCAGTCTACAATACAACAGTATAAATGTCGCCTTGATATTTGTGGACCCTTAAACCATGGCGACTACACCTCAATATGCAGGGACTGACTAGTCAGATAACACATCTCCACATTACAACCACCAAGTTATTTATCGACTTATCTGAGGTGATTCCACATGGAATTAGTTTGATTCAGTACCATATTACAACCTGCCTCGTCGTTAATTAAAAATGACCGTTATGCGGGTCTGATTATCACTGGTTAGGGAAGCCTCGAGGGGATTATTTTCGACGAAGCGCGTATAAAAGTGCTTTTTTTAACAAGCAAAACAACACATGAAGCCTTAAAAAGGCCTTACCAGCACCAGATAAGATAAAGAAACGCAGAGAAGTCACGTACGATTAAAGATGGTCGCTGTGAGGGAAACAGGCTGCAGCTGCTCTAGATGGAAGGTACCTGCTCTTCCTCCATGATGTGCATGTCGCCGAGGCAATGTTCCACCCGCATTCCGGCAAAGCCCCGCCTTTCTGCGCTGTGATTGGCTAGTGGTATCCCCGCCACGTGCGCTGTGATTGGCTAGTGGTTCATAACCGCAAGCATTCTGTAGGGATTCTGCCTGTGAAGTTTTAGCCAATGATGAAGGACGCCGAGCTTGTTGGAAAACAGGTGTGAAAAAAAACACAAACAGGGCAGCTGAGCTCAGTAGCATCGCAATGCAGCCTCTCTAGGCTGGTTAGGAGCTCTGTTACCTGCTGCCTGCTAAGGCCACATGCATACACTGCACACTTGCAGGCGTTTTCTGAGAGGTTTTTTCCTAATGTTAGTCAGAATAACGCGTTCTTCCCTTAGCCAGGAGCAATGTCACATCACATGTCGCTTTATAAAGAAAAAGAGGATGAAAGAATTTTAAAATATGTAGTTTTATGTATTAGTTGGTGTTTACTTGCTGCACTGAAAAACTGACGTTGGACTATCGCAATCACAGGCTCATACTGACTTTACGTTCTCGTGGAGCAGTTTTATAAAACCGAACATCTTATTTATTTGGAATGAGTATTCTTGTGTCTGGTGTAATGTGCTTTTACAAGGCCAACTGACAACTGTTTTTTAAAATGGATAATGGAAAATAAAAAAAAGGTACAGAAGCTCTGTGGCAAGGTCTGCAGTCAACCACTGTCTGCTGATGTGGAGTCTTTGTCTGCACAGTCTGGAGCGCAGCAGGAAGGAGGGATGGAGAATAACATGGACAATTCAAATGTGACTTTTTAAAATTTCGCCTTGGAAAATAATAATAATGGCGGTAATTGTGGCTTAATAATTACTGTCAATAACTTTTGCAAATAGTTGAATTTATACTTTTTATATTTTGTAGATTACATTTATTCTTTAGCTCCATTTCACCGTATTAAGAAGAGACATGACGGATGTAACAATGTTTTCAGTCATCAAGTATTAAACATGACAAAACTCAGACTACTGAGATATATGAAACGTAATCTACAGTACTTTAAATAGGGTAAGTGTAACAAAAGTCCACAAAGCCTGCAGGGTCACACACAGTGTTCTCAAAGAACCCAGCTGACCTCCTTCTGCAGGCCTCATTATGCCAACGGATGGAAATTGACTCAGATATTTTTGATTACTATTATAAAATACATGTAGTCTTTTTCCCTGTAACTGACTTATCAGATTAGGAAACTGTTGCCTCTCCTGGTGTGAAATGTTATGACTGTGTTGAGCCGCTAGTGAGCAATGAGGGATGAGGGGGGAGGAGTGAGACCCCCTGCTGATCTACAAATCACACTTGATGCCAAGACGATCGAGATAACACAGACAGCACAACTGCAGCTTTCATGATATTGATATATATATATATATATATATATATATATATATATATATATATATATATATATATATATATATCGCTGTTTTTGGAAGACAACCTCGTATCTCCAAAATGGTAACTTTACAGGAGAAGGAAAAAACCTACTTTGAATGTAAGTCAATGGAACCAGACTTCTTTCCAAGTAATTTTGGTCCATTCATCATGAAATATACATTGTGACAATGTAAAGACTTTTTCAAATTATGTCAAAAAGTGAAAAACATATTCTTTTAAATTACAAATTTTCAAAATGCCTGCATTATTACAGACATAACTCAAATGTTGGAAGCATTTAATGGCTTTAAAAGCTCCCTCACAGGAAGTTATTACTTGAAATGGTTATGAATATGCTGTCTGATGACTGAGAAATTGTTTTGACTGCTAGATTTGAAATGAGCTTAAAACACATTAAAACACATTCATGGCAAAGTGGCACATGCAGGGTGTTGCAAGAGAAAATAGTCCCTAAAGAAAACATATTTTTCAGATATACAACTATTTTAGCATTAATAATACTACATGTAAAAACTCAGATCAATGGTGTTTTTGGACAGTAAACAAAATGGCTCTGAGTGACTTTGTTTACACATCAATGACTAAATTATGCAGAAATTTTGAAAAATCTGTTATTACCCTTTACAGAGGGTGTGGGTGCTGGAAACCGGTATATTTATTGACCGCTACAGATCGCAATGTACTGAAACGAGCAGATACAGAACAATATGTAAATTGTTGATACTAATTTGCTCAGTACCATGAAAGTACTGAAATTACAAATACACAGTTTAATATAAGCACAAATGGGATTAGTTCAAAAGTTCTTCTAGATCAGTGTTTCCAAACTAAAGCCCTGAAAACCCAGCTGCACTGCAGTTTCATGTTTTTCCTGAGTCATATCAGTAGTTCATTTTTCAAGGCTGTCTTGGGCTGAAAATACAAAAGTGTGTGGTGCAGGTGTTTCTACAGGACTGGAGCTGGGAATCAGTGTGGGAACTGTATCTTGACAGATGTCAACATGAAAACATCAACAAAAATATGAATAAGAATGCAACATTTTATTATATTATTAAAAACATTACTACAAAAAAGTGTTTTCTCAAATCTATAGAACAACTGCTTAAAGCAAAGGAACAACTTTACTGTTTGGTCAGTTTGTTATAATCACTAAAAAGTACACTCAGGAATAAAAACATAACTTATGTGTAGTTCTGAGTTCTGAATTGTATGCTCATGACAATGAAATAACAGGTTGTACATTCATGAGGCAATGATCTTCTATAAAAAAATGCAACAAAAATATTGGTTAAAGTAGAGCAAAATAACTTTTCAGACTGTTTTGTCTTTTTAGCACCTTCAGTCACTAATAGCAGCGCTGCTTTTCATATTGGCACGTCATGCAAAGGACATTTCAGTACTTGTGTTGAGTCAATCAGCTCAGACTTAAAGGAAAACTCCAATATTTTTCAACCTCATCTCTCTCTATCTGCTGTATCTGTAACATATGTCCAACTACCAGAAACGTTCTGAAGTATTTCCCTGTACGTACTACAAGAATCAAAAACACATTCACTTTAAACACAATGCCCAGGGCTTCTATTCTGAGTCAAGGACTTTCCGTTCTTTTAAATGCAGGAAAAAGCATCAAAATGACTGTCCATGATAATCCACTACACACCAATGTGGCAGATAGCAAATCAGAAAACACTACTGCATTGTTTAAATAAACCACTGACCACTATAATGACATAAAACACTGTGTCCTACTTTAGGAAATATTCAAAACAAAATGAAATAAGAGAGTTAAAGCAGTGTTGGCCACATTTGACCTTGTCAGGAGAAGCAGACAAAATAAAATACAACTATAGTGTCTAATGTGAGAGAAATAATCTACATTAACCTCAGCCATTTTCATTCTCACTGATTCCAGTTCATAAAACATTTTACATAATTCAGCATAAAGGCACACAGTTGAAATCTAATTCAACAAAGTAACACATGTTGCCTTTGGTTACAGTAAAAAGGCACTGCCCACAAAATGAGGCATCTAAAAACCACATTCTACACTGTAGAGCCATAAATTACACCATGTATTTCAGCGAGCAGAGCGTAGTGCAAGGTTCTTTTTGAATGCAGGTCGTCTCAACATGCTTCTCCTGACCTACGTCTAGGACGGTTTCTCCCTCTGCCTGGATGACCTCTGTAGTGGCAACAGTCTGATAAGCTCTCTCACTGTTTCCAGACGGATCTGGCGTGTAGGTGGGCACGACGTTAAACATGATGAAGCCAACGGTGATCACCACAAAAGACACAATGTACAGGGCTGAGAACTGTGAAGAACAATGGGAATAAATCAGTGTCAGCTTATTGGAGGAAGAAAAAATCCATATTGATTTCCATGGAAACGGTTTAACCCTTATGTTGTGTTTACATTGGTTGTGACCATAATGGATCCCTATTTGCGTTTTCAGGCACTTTTCTCTTAGCGTCTGCCAAAGCATTAAATTGAACTCCAGAGTGATTTTAAGGGCACTATAAAATTCCACACTCCACTTGTAATTTCTTGTAAACACTGTAGATCACTACATCAGCTGAATATGGACCAAGGAGTCTCTTGTTACTATGCAACTGACAGACGAATGTTACGTGAACGGTGACCACTGAGCCACTAAAAAGGAAACTTACCAGTAGAAACACTACAAAAACAGCTCCTAGAGGTAAAACAAAGACCCTAATGTGTTTAATGCCTGCTGCTCATCCTACAGTAAAAAAACAGGTAACTGAAGACTACTGCAGTCTTACACCAAGAATTAAATGTGTACGCTAGTCAAGTTTTGTACTTTCTCCCTGTCCCCTGCACTTTTCAAAATGTTACCCTTATGTCTACAGCTACGAATAAGAAGTAGGGCTGGGCAATATGACGATGTTTAACATTACTGTAATAAATTACGTCACAATATGCCATAATTCCATTTTCAGAGTATATCATAGATATTGTTAGCACTTCTACTGAGCATGTTTCAGTACAAAGATAGCATACATATATCAAGTTGAGATCATATTTCTGGATTTGGCACCACCGGGTATTTTTTGTCCATTCAAACTTATAAATCTTGACTTAATTATCTTGACATTGTGAAAATTTCTTGAAATATCAATCTTTTTGCCATAATGCCCTACTCTAATAAAAAGCTACCTTCACCCTCTTTTAAGCAACTAATGTTGGTTTGTTTATGTGACAGGTGAGCAGTGACGCAGGTTGATGATGAGAAAGAACTACATAGTTCACCCCTACATAGCACAATAATAACGAGGGAGTAGGGATCCATTCCATCAGTCACAGCCATAGTAACTGTTGATGCTCAGTGGAAAACTATATATTTCATTGTTTTCCATGGAGCAGCAATGCAAAAATCTGCCACTGCCATAGGCAACGGCAGCGATTCCAACTTTTGCCATCAACCGTGGCTGTGGAAAAAATGGCTGATTTGTTTAGGAGTCCAGGTGCACCCAGTATTACACAAAATAATGGAACAAATACAGAACATCTTTCTGCCCTTTTTCACTTTCTATAAACAACGGACACTGCTAAAGGTCTTCTCGGATGATCATCCATTTTTACCAGTTATGCTATCTCCATGGCAACATTTCCATGGCTGCATGTTTGTGTACCGCTATGAGGCATGGAATGATTTTTTTTTCCCCCCTCAAAGGCACCATGTAAATGAAGCATTAAAAGTCACAGTTATTGGAGGTGCATGGTGTAGTTATTTTATTATGAGGATATTTTATTATGATTTAAATTTTGTGAAAAGTTTTGATGGCACAGTCTTGTTTTGCAGAAAGAAAATACTTCCTTTACATTTTTGCCATGTTTGACTTTTGAAAACTGTTAATACAGATTGTAAACTGAACTTAATTACATTTGAATTTTATTTACTTACATAACTATCATTATTTATGTAATTACATATGTATAATTATGTAAATAAAAAATGTATAGAAAAGCAAGCCAGAATGACTCTAAAAAGGATTCTAAGGGATATCATAGCAGTACAATATGGATTTGTGACTGTCGTCCCACCACCCACAACTTCACTTACCTTGAACTGGAAAAGAAAGATGCCACATAAGAGGCTGAAGAGATCAGCAGTTAGCAGGGAGAGGTTCACTGCTGTTGCACTGGTCATTTTCATCACCACAGGCATGAAACTGTACAGCCCATACATGCACAGCATAAAGGCAACAAAGAGCAGGCCTGAGGAGGAACACTCAGTAGGTTATAAATATCCTCAAATGAAATTAAAAAAAAAATATTAAAAGTAATGGCAACAGAAAATCTGCTCACATATTTTCCAGTCCCAGCTAATGGCCATTATCGGCTTGATTTCAAGGATCGCCCTTAGGGAAAAAGGACACATAATTAAATACACATTATTACACCATAAGCCTGATATTAATCATGCTACAGTGAAGTGACTTACATTTGTACACCACTGATGAGGGTCCCAAACAGACCCATCATACCCAAGAACTCTGCCCTGCTCAGGTTCTTCACTGTGTACTCCTGACACACGTTAGACACAGCGTACAGAGCAGCACTGATCAGCACCAAACAATCTCCCAGCAATAAATTAGAGTCTATAGAGAGATAGAAAACATTATAAATACACTCTGAAACATAAAAGTGCCATTGAGCCTTCACTGGAGTGATCTTTAAAGAACCTTTTAAAAGATGGTTCTTTATTAAACCATTCTTGTAATTGAGCTGTGTGCGTGTGCAGAACCTTTTAAAGGGCTCATGTCCTACATGTTTCAGGTATTTTACTTTTTCCTTTGAAGAACACTTAACATTTGTGTGATTTTATATACCAAAATTGTCATGATTAATTTTTACATGACCTCTCCTTAGAATTAAACAAACTGTTTTTGTTACTGTGCCTTTAAGACTGATATAAGCTAAATAAGCTCTGTTCTGAATGGCTGTCCTGTGTTGTGTCTCATTCAAAAAGCACCCTGTGCTGAAACACTCCCTAGAACTTCAATATGAATGGGTGTAGCTAAACGGCTGTAGGCTGAATACGTGGATATATGCAAATGAGTTGGTTCTTGTGACAAAAAACCCGAATGAATTCAAAATGTGCTGTTTTTGCAGCCTAGTTTCCATATATGGACTCTATAGAGTGATTAGTATACGGCACATTTTAATACACTGACAATGTTTACATATTAGTTTAAACGTTTATTTCTAAAAAGGTAAGGGAAACTTGTTTTTTCATGATATGGGCCCTTGAAAGTTTTGAAAAAACTTCCACATGATGTAAAGGTTCTACACCAATTGTCCTAGAACTGTACATTCAAGCTGAGAATCACTTAGAAAGCTTTATTTATAAGGGTGTGCAGCTGTAATTACAGTGTATAAGTGAGATTTCACAAACAGCACTCAATGTCTAATCCATACACACTTGATTTCTTCCCTTTTTCCCCCCAATCAATGCCAATTCTGCTCTGAAACTGAACGAAACCCAAGCACACGTCTCTACTGATAACAGCAAAAACAAAAAGAGAAAGGAAGGGAAAAAAGAAAGAAAACACAGTTTCTGCCTAGATATAATGGCTTAGTACTTACTTGAGCCTTGGTCTCTTCCAGCTAACAAATCAGCCCCCACCATCGCCCCAACACCAAGCAAACACACACCCACAGCTATAAAATGCAGCAGCCTGTAACGAGTCTTCAGGAAGAACCAGGACAGCACCATCAGCACCGGGATCACAAAGCAGTCCAGTAGCTACAAGCACAACACAAGACCCTCATCAAATTGTACAGGATGGACACAGGCTGTTACAATCCAGTCTACTGTCATTTTACACACAAACAAAGTAAACATGATATTCATTTCAATGAACAGTACAGAGAGTTTAAAGAGTTATTACAAACACATCATATAATTTGCCGCACCAAAACATCAGAAAACATACATACAAGAGACCCCATCATTAAAGAGGAATTCCAGCAATTTTCAAAATTTCCATGTGATTGAATTATTAAGATGTGAACAAAGTCATTCAGAGTGGTTTGATGAAAAATGCACTGTTATAGAGAAACCACGTCAGAATTGTTCACAGTGGTGGTGATAGGAACCACACACCCAGTGTTTAATGCCTTTACAAGCTACCTCACAAAGTTATTACATGACATGCTGTAGTCCATATTAGCTTTTGACCTAAAATACAATCTTTAAAACCATTTGTGACCAAGAGGTACATGCAGGACATTAAAAGGCACAAGACACCCCCAAAAAAAAGTTAAATCTGAAAAAATAAGTTTTCATTATCATTACATATAAAAACGCAGAAGACACATGTTCACTGGTCGTTTAGGATAGCAAATAAAACGACTATATTTGTGTTGTAGACATTAAGACCTCTGGTTCCTATCACCACCACTGTAAAGAAATTTGCATCTGTAAGTTTCTCTATAACAAACTATTTCATGTCAAACCAATCTGAATGACACGTTCACAGCTCAAGGACTGAATTATGCACAATTTTTGAAAAATTGATGGAATTCCCATTTGGAGATCAGAGATCAGAGAGTTATTGAAGACAGAGGACTATTGAAAAATACCTGAATGCTTGTTAGTGTAGTAAACTGGTATGCCTTCACAACTGTGTAGTTTGCTTCAACATCTGTGAGCGCCATCAACAGATACTTCCACCATTTTGATTTTAAAATCTGAAAAATACTCTCTTCACCTAAAAGGGGAACAGGTTTTAACAGTGTCATTTTGTGTGCGAGTATTTAACATGTAAAGACAATAGAAAATAAACTAAGTGCAAAACATTGCAGCAGGACAATATGACATGATAGGACAACGATAAAGCAAAATGACATTCTCACATACAACAATCTTCATGAAAATGAATCAAATTCTTGCCAGATATACAATGAACTGCTGAGCTGATCTAATGAGGCTGGATTAACCTACCTTTCCTAAATACCAGGGCTGTGGTGTAGGTCAGAAGCAGCAGGGCATAGTTGAAGAAACTCTGCAGCATTGGAGTGTCCACCTGAGCCTTCTCCAGATACTGACTGGTCACTGCTGTCCCACATACCAGCATAGACAGGACCTGACCCAAAGCCACTGTTTTCAGGAGGCGCCTGGGGGGTGCAGCACAGTCTATTTTAAGTCTCATGTTCATAAAATACTGTAAGTGCTGCTGTTTCAGCATCAGTTTTGCCTTGTGGTCTTTTGTAATTGTTCCTTAATCAACAGTCTTAGACTCAGGTTCATAATGATTATACACCTGACATACGGATATGGAGTATCTAAATGACGTCACTCTTGTGGCCACACCACCAGTCAGCGTGTTGAGGACAGTGCTTGTAGAGCCATTGATTGTATACTGTTAGTTAATAAAACATCCTGAATGATAAAATATAGTCTTGGTATGCTGTGTTTTAGCTGTAGCAACAAGAGCAACAAAAAAGAAAAAGTAAGCTTTTATAGCGTCCTGGCTTTCTGCCATTGTGATGGCAAAGCGGCTGAAGAGGCAGCAAAGGAGAAATCTCTGGACAGTAAGAATAAACAGGAACAATTTTCTGACATCTCCCTATAGTAAATCTGCTCTAATCATTTTGTCAAAGGTAGACAGGTGAAGGATGAATTCTGTAGTTTTGCAATTTTCCAGTGTTGAGAGCTGTTCATGACTGACAAATGACACTGAATGATGATTAACTTCTACAATCTAGTTACTCATGTTGAGATACACTATGCTTTAGTTAAACAATGAATGCAGCTGAGAGAACACCCGAACATTAGCAGGGCTCATATAACTCAAGTTAACGTCAAGCTAACACTGATAAACCCTATCAAACAAAGACTGGTAGCTATTGCTCTCTTTTGTGATTACGATCACATTTGATGGTGTAGTTTGAAGGTACAAAAGACAGAATACTGTTGACCCACAAACAAAATACATACACGATTCTAGTGATTTGCATGCTTTTACCTCCTACAATGCGTATACTGACACAGCATAAACTGCCTTTTCTTGATGATGATAATAATAATAATAATAATAATAATAATAATAAAGTTCAATTTATATAGCGCCTTTCTCATACCCAAGTTCACTTTACAGAGGCAGGGAAAAAAGCCATCAGTGAGCAGAAGAATGAGAGTGCTGAGAAAGAAGGAGGAAAGTGAGGGACAATCATGAAGAGACTGCGGTAATGTGTTGCATAGTTTGGGGGTCATGACGCTGAAAGATCAGCCCCCAAAAGTGCCCAAATTAAATTCTGATATCTTATTTTAAAGCCATAGTGTCTTTAAAAGTAAGTCAACTTACTTCACTGAACTTCTAATACTAAGTTTAAAAAAAAAAACAAAATCATTGTCTTAAGTTCTGTTGACGTATTATTTGACATTCAGTGAACTCCAAATTTTATTGCAGCAAACTGACTTACTATTTTAAGATACCATCTTTTTTTTACAGTGCAGCACTGACTGCTCATACATGTTATGCCAACAGAATGTCAACAATATGGCAATATGAGTCACTTTTGCTAATACTATCTACACTCATTCTGCTCCTGTGCTGGACTCCTGTCTCCATGTCATGTTTTATAATTATGCTCTTCAAAAAAATAATTTTGAGAATTAAATCGTAAAAAAATATATAACATTCCAGTTTTTATTTTAAAAGTCTTCATCTTACCACGTGAAAACATCTTTCAGCTTAAGCTTCTGTGGTCCACAGATGAACGCACCCAAGGTCCCGGACGTTCTCAAGCTCACACGGTCAGGGGTGACCTCTCCAGTTTCACCCTCCATTTCTTCTTGACCCTGTGCTGGGAAGGCAGCTGAAGAGAACCTAACATTAAAGCACAGGATTTATGATTTATAGAGTCTGTATCCAAGAACCGCACAGGTCAGCACACAGTAATCTCTTCAAGAATTTGTGCCTCATTAAGTACATTGACACCAAGCTGCCATAATTACAACAGTTACAGTTCTGAGAGTTAAAAATGGCACAAAATAAGTACTACAACTCACATACATTACTGTCAAGGAGCTACAAAATGTGAACACTGTGAACAAAAACAATCATCTCCTGTAGTCAGTTTTGTGTATGTTGCCTTTCTGAAATTTAATTCTTCAAATCTTTGCCAGAGAAAAACAGAGATGTGCGGATCACTTTCTAAAGGGCTCTGAGAACTGAGTCTCATGCTGTGCAAAGCACAGCAAAAACCAAAAACAGAACATTCAAGAAGAAGCCAGTCTTGGGAACAACTAGTGGTAATCTGTAGATCTCACAGTTTGGAGAGCTGAGATGTGGGAGGTCATTTTAATTTCATGCTTAATACAAACTTCTTCCACATTTTTCCATCCTTTAAATGCTGAGATAGATAAAGCATGTACTATTTACACTGTTGTGCACCACAAGCCTGTTTGCACTCCATTAACTTATTAAATGCTGAGTTGAAGCAGATATATAAGTGCAGTTGAAGCTAAATCTTGCTGAAATAAATCTGACTGAAAGTCATATGCTGCCTATCACACCTACTCCGATCAGCCATAACATTAAAACCACCTCCTTGTATCTACACTCTTTGTCCATATTATCAGATCCACTTACCATATAGGTGCACTTTGTAGTTGTACAAGTACAGAGTGTAGTTCATCTGTTTCTCTGCATACGTCGTTAGCCCCCTTTAAATGGTCAGGACCCCCGCAGGACCACCACAGAATGGGTATTATTTGGGTGATGGATCATTCTCAGCACTGCAGTGGCACTGATGTAGCGGTGGCGTGTTGGTGTTGTGCTGAGTGGATCAGACACAGCAGTGCTGCTGGAGTTTTTAAACACTGTGTCCACTTACTGTCCACTCTATTAGACACTCTTACCTTGTCAGTGCTCATCCGCTGCTGCACAGTTTGTGTTGGTCATACTCCAGTCCTTTATTAGTGGTCACATGGTCACAGAACACTGCCCACAGGACCCTATTGGCTGGATATTTTTTGGTAGGTGGACTATTCTCAGTCCAGCAGTGACACTGAGGTGTTTGAAACTCCAGCAGCACTGCTGTGTCACTAACACACCACCACCACATCAGTGTTACTGCAGAGCTGAGAATGAGCACCCAAATAATACCTGCTCTGGGGTGGTCCTGATTACTGAAAACAGAATGGAAAGGGCTACCAATGGGTAAAGAGAAACTTGGACTAAGGTCTGTAGATACATAATTACAAAATTCTCCTATAGGGTAAGTGGAGCTGATAAAATGGACAGTGTAGATACAAGGAGGTGGTTGTAATGCTAAGGCTGATCGGTGCAGATCAGGCTTAGCATTGAAAGAACAGCCATTATATAATCGATCTGACAAATAATAAAGCTTCCAATGATACATTTAACGTGGCAACTAGTTACAATAAGTCAGCTACATCGTTTAGACAATGTACAGTGTACACGTGGTCAGCTCGGCTAATAATAAAAATAAAATATCTTGATATTACTTAAAATACACCCAGCACACTCTGAAACAACAAACCGACATGAACATCAATCTTCTTCGATTTTGAGCTAATTATTAACTCGTTCGAATTAAGTGTTAAATTAACGTTAGTCAGCTAAGGCTAGCAAACTAGTCAAGGTAGCAAACCGGTTAACAAATATGCCGTCAGCTGTATTAAAACCGGAATCACATGTGAAACGTAACTGCGTGTAATCGATTCGTCCGAATCATCATTCATATTAAAGTTAACCGTAATTAACTTAGCAAATCATTACCTTCACTGTCAGGCCATGTCGCTGCTGCTGCTGCCGGGTTCTCTGACTTCCCACCATGCGCTACTCATTCACTCTAACTGGCGCGTTTACGCCCCGCCCGCTGACTAAGACCCGCCCCTCTTTTCAAACAGCCAATAGAAACAAGGCTGCTCAACAGCGTTGGAAATCCTGGACCAATGGCAGTTTAAAACGCAGCCAAACTGACCCTCAAACAAAATCACGCAAAGCACGGAAGTCTTACGATGCTGTATTTGCCAGTATTTTTTCCGAGTCTGTTATTAACGCATTTATTTACAACACATTTATGTTTTGGTGACAGAAGACAGATAAGTTTCTAGAGTGAGAAAGTGATAACAAATTTCTAAGACAATTAATACATAACAAATATGGATAAATATATACATCCCTAATGAATACTTGAGTGGAGCACTGTCAGAGGTGTCCTGAAAAGCCCGGTTACCTCCTTATAAATGCTGTATTTCTAATAAGATAGTCCTACATTAGGTGTACCATTATAGATTAATTGTGTCATCATTAATGAGTGTAGCTGACTTTGTATTCTGTGAATCAGAAAAAGACACTATAACATAGATCTGTTTTATGAAGGTAAAAAAGTTTGTTTCCTCTGAAAAGACTTATCTCACCACATTGAGGAACGTCAGGAGCATGTTTATTTTCTTAAATCTCAATTTTTAAACACATTAAATTTCTTAAATCCAATTAATAATGTTTAAAATAACTTTTAATATTTGGAATCTTTATATGTATGCAAAATGTGATTTTTTTTATTTACCTCCTAAGATGTAATAATCCTTTTTTTAAGTACTTAATTATTTGAATATATTATTTTTATGCCTTTCCTTTTTTTATATAATTTGTTCTATAATTATTTACATACATGTGTTTGCTTCTGATAAGTGATAACCTGTCTTTGCATATTTTTAGGTTTGGTGCAATTTTTCGAGGTCAAAATTTGATTTGACTCTTGATATGTGTTAAAAGTGTCTTGATTCTGCAGAGCTGTAATTAAATACTACACAGATTTGTCTGGATCAGAAAATTGTAATCTATTTCAGAACTAAAGTAGCACGGCCTTGTGAAAAATAGTCTCATAAAACAGCACAAAGACGCCTGTTTTTGATCACTGACAAAAGTTTCCAAGACAGATAGCAAATGAGAGAGACTTGAAAAAGGCAGAAGGTGTATCAGTGATACAGTTTTAATGTTTGATACACTAATTTGAACAATCATTTTTATGATTTTTTGATACTGTATCAAAATTGTTTCACCTTTATGATAAACCGAATTCTGTTGCGCCGTTATATATACAGTAACTCAACTAAGCACCTGCTGTTTTTAAATACCTCTTTTCTTGATCAACATTTCTTTGTTTCCAATAATCTTACTGTTCTTTCCATTCAGTGTCTAAAAATTCATCATCTAGGCTACTGCAGGCTGACTGCTGCAAATATTAGCTGGGTCCATCTATAAACATAAAACTTTGTCTAGTACACTGCCAAAAAAATTATATTAGTTGTACATATTTTCACACTGACATGTATCTGGGCTCTGGGATGTCCTTTCCCACTCCTCACAAAGAAAAGGTGGACTGTGTGTTCTACTGAACTGTAGGGAGGCAGACACCAGACATCTGAGAACAGATATGCCTTCAAGGACACTGACAGCTTCACTGACCCTCTCTGAATAACAAAAACAGAGAAGAGAATGAGAAGAGAGAAGTCTGTTCAACCACACTGGTGTGAAATGGGTAGGTTTAGATGTAAATGTTCAAATAGAGCACCTTAATTTCACTGTAATGGCTGAGATGGCTGAGTAATGTATTGACTGTGGGTAGAATGGGGAGCAATGTATGTGTGGGCCTACTACTACCCCACAGGAAGAAAGACACAGCAAACAACATCACATCACACAGTGTGAAAGAGCACTTTTTCAGTATCTGATCTGCGAATAATAACCCAATACTGAGTTGTCACCATCTATCACATTGTAATGAACTATGACACCATTAACAAAATACTGAATTAAACATGCTGTTGCTGTTAGTTTGATTAACAGTGCAGCTAAACAACAGACAAATAAGAGCTCATATTTGTTCTCTGCATTTTGAGCTACATGTGGGATGTCCTTAGGAAACATTTCTACACAACAAATAAAGGCTAAAGGAAATTAAGTTCATTTGAATCAAGGGCTCCATTAGAGACACACTGTACTTTACAAATGGTGTCTTTATTACTTTTCTAGGAAAATAAAGAGAGCTGGGATCCTGCTGAAATTACCACACAGAAGGAAAAGTCTACGTTTGATTAGCATTTTTATTTGATGTTATGAAAATGATCATTCACAGCACATCAGTGTGAAAGCGTAGCCATAAATATCCCTGCTGAAAAAAAAACTAACATTACTGCCTACTGACTACTTCAGCTTTACTTCCGAGGAAAAAATGCCCAGAAGTCTGGACTATAGGCAAGGTTAACTGGTGTAAAATCAACAGATATCTGTCGTTACTTTAAAGCTTTTAGAGCTAAACTCGTGTCTAGCTGGATCTTCAAAACTCCAGACACAGAATGCAACTAGATTAGTCTGTTTTCTGCAGGTCCTAAATGTTCTGATTTCAGGAAAATTAACATATTTCAGTCTACAAGTCCATGAAGTTGAAAACTAAATAGTGCCAGTTAAATACCAGATATCTTGCTATATGTGCATGAAGTGTCTCATTCAAGAACATTTTCTTTGGCTATTTGCAACACGTGCATTAGAAATCTTACATTTACACTCAGAGTAAATAGAGAAAAATAATGGCTTTGTAATTTAGGGCCTACAACCTCTGTGTCCCATCTGTAGCAACTAATAATAACCAGTTAAGAACATGGACAGTGTTGCGTATGGTAAAGACAGATGCTCAAAGGCTAACATCTTGTAGCAACAGAGAAACAGTTGTGTGGCTTATCATGTGCCCTTCTGTGTCACTGTCTTAGTTTTTCACATTTCTTTCTTTCTGTGTGTTTATTACTATTGGAACAGTGAAACTGGTGGCTACTAATACCTAATACCCTTTTCTAATTTCACAATAATCAATTTTAATTTGAAGATGTGCGGTTTAATGAAGTGGGAATTAATGCGCCACATCATAGTGAACCTACTTTACCAGGGATGTGTTACTAAACAGTAGTGGTTTGTCTTATTCCGTAAGTAGCTTTATGTGCAGGATTCTGTTCAGAGACCAGTGGAAGCTGAGGCTATGCTATTTTTCCCTATTGAGGAAGAACGGGCCTGATATGTAGTTAGAATTGGAGCAGATAGTGAGAACAGAAGTGACTTGTTTTTACTGTAATGCTTGATCGAAATTCAAAATGTCTATTCTTCATTTTAATTCCACATTTTTTAAAGTTTACAAGTTTTAACCAGACTTGATGTGTACATTATGATGTATTTTCAACCTTGAACAGACTGTCAGTAAGTACACACTAGTAAGCAGTTATTTCATAGCAAGTCTTGGTTTTAACACATTTTTTTTTATGTGGCTTATTGAATTTCCATTAGGTTAATAAGATTGCTTCTCCTTTTTAGATGTCCATGCAGTTTGTCTGTAGGACGATGAAGGCCCAGTATAGATTCACCAAGCTTTAACAGAAAATATCCTTGATTTTATCAAGCACAGGCAGTAAGTTATTTCTTTGCTGAAATGCACTGGTTAATATGACTGGGAAAGCTCTGCAGGCTGCAGGAAATTGCTGTGTGATCTAACTGAATGACAAGAACTGTCCTTTTGGATAAAGGTCATGCTGTTCTCTCTGATTTTAGCTAATATGTTCCAGAGGGTGCTCAGTCATCAGGATGACACGGCCCTATCCAAAGCCTGCACTGTAAAGTGAAGGAAATTCTTTGAGTGAACATCAGATTATTTGATTTTTCAACGCTGTGTCCACATTGTTACCCTAATTACTACTAAAGATTAGTTCATTAAAGCTGCCTTGTATGTTTTGTTAAAATTGAAAGAAGTACCAGTGCTGTACAGTGTCTGTGTGCTGCTGCGAGTCACCATGTAAGGCCTGAAACAATGATTTCAGAGGCTTCAGGTTGCATTTTGCAGGAGTTTTGTGGACCTTGTCACACGTCACAAGCACAAGATCAAAAAGAAGTTCTGGCTCTATGTTTAGGTTTCAAATCAACTTAATACTGATGAAGATATGATGATAATTGTAGATTTATGCACACCCTCACAAGACACGTCCTTCACCAAGTTTTGACTGTGTTCTCTCTGAATACTCTTTCAGCACGCTCGCAAAGTCAGGTTCATCTGTTTGGGGAAGAGTTCTAAAGCACAGCCAACGTTACAAAAGGCACGTTTCATGCAATTACACATTTTCACCAGAGAGGTCTCCAAATCCCCACATCGTATGTAGATCAGCTTTCATAAATAATTGCTATTTTTTAAAACTTATGCTTGATTCATGGAATCATGGAATCCATATTCTGTGCAATGTAGAGACAGCTACAAGACAGTGCAATGAAGCTAGTGCACACAAAGAAATTAAGTGAGTTTGACTCTCACCTCGTGCTCTCTCAGTGGTGTAAGAATCACATGGTGAAAAAAACATCTCTATCCTGAAGTTGCTGTGAGTGCCTTTTTTCTCTTGATCTTCATTCCTTCAGTGATCTTGAGCTCCACCTCTGACTGCAAGCTCCAAATTGTCTCATCTTCAGCAGAATGGTGTGCAGAACTACATAAAAATGTGAGATGGCTAAATAAAAAATGTGTATTTATCTCAAACTTTAGATGAGAATGTTTTTTTTACAGTGATGCACATACAGTATTGCACTGATGCTTGAGGAGGAATTCCACTGAGATTTCAAAATTTCTGCATAACTTAATTATTGAGATGTAAACAAAGTCATCCAGAGTGGTTTGAGAGTGGTTTGATGTGAAATGGTTAATTGTAGAAGATGACTGACTAATTTCTTTATAGTGGTGGTGATAGGACAGTCATGATGTCTACAACACAAATATAACCATTTTATACTATCCCAAACAAACTGTGAATCCACACCTGTCTGAGTTTTATATGCAATGTATACACACATATATTTTGTCTCATATTACACTGCTTATTCCTACCCAACATGAATAGATTTAAAAATACAGGACAAAGCCTTCTCAAAAATACTACAGGGTGTCCCAAAAAAAATGACATCATTTAAGTAACTGCATGTCCTAGGCAAACGAAATTAAATAGGCTTCACATTGAATAATACATTTATTTATCAAAATTCGAACAAGAAATTCAGAGGGATGTAGATTTTATAACCAATTTGACAAAGCTTCACAAATGTAATATCTTCCGATACTGGTGGTCGTCCAGATCCCTTTGCCCTGCACAGACAGCCTTCCTCTTTGAATTTTTTGTCCAAATCTGCTTTCCAGTTGGTGCATTTTTATTGAATTTCAAAAATGCATGCTGCACACTCTTGTTTGACTGTGTTCGAGCATATTCTAATACACAAAATGCCTTTTCATTACTAGTGAATGCCATTCTTCAACCTGAAAAAAAAAAACATTAAAAATTAAACTTTTTTTGTTTTTACACATTTTGTTAAAAATTGAGATCATTTAATGGAGAATTGGCTCCATGGAATTGGAATGTTATGAGACTACGAAATGATGTCAATTTTTTGGGCACGCTGTATATTGTTAGTTATATTGTAAAGGAATATAAATAGGTCTCTCTGCTCTTACCTTGTGTTTTGTATGTGTCTTTTACGCTTCACTAAGCTGCACCTTATGTTTTCTCTCATTGACAAAGTCTCAGCGGCACTGTGTGTAGAAGACCATATAATGAGTGCAGGCCAGGCAGACGTGGTGGCTTCAGCAGAGACAATCACTTCTGAGAGAAAGGCAGTTACTCTGGACTTTCTTGTGTATGGTCGATGGATGCTGTAGATAAAGCTGACAGTAGGTGGTGCTCTGGGATAGGAAACATTTCTGTAACATCAGTAGGAACACAAGAAAATCTTTTTAATCACTCCATATTAACAATGCTGACTGTTTAGCTGTACTATTCTGGCCCTGTTGCTGTCTTTCTGAATACATACTTTTTCTGTGAAATGTTATTTTGTACAGGATTCAGAAAAGCATGTGGAGCAAATCCTTCAAAGATGACACACAATTTCTCACAACCAGGGCTAAAGTAAGCTGACATGTCTTTTACTGGCTTTTATCTTTAAGAACAATACTTGAGTTGATTCTCTTGGATTTCATCTTAGAAGTTGGTTGCATTTTGTGCTAATTGTACTCCAGATAATTCCAAACACTTTTAAAGACTTGAGGTCTGGAGTGACCAGTCCATTGTTCTGAGAATACCGGCAGCTTTGTTTGATTCATGAATTTAATCTTCTCAGTGAGGCTTCTTGGCAGCTACACATCCTTTCAGACTCATAGCTCTGAGTTGTCTTCTCACAATGAAAGGATGGAGAGAAACACCTGAGGAAGATCTGAGGTAAGACTGGAGCTTGATTTTCTCCTCTTTCTCAAAAATGAAAGCTTTAAGTACTGTTTATCTGATAGTGAGCATTTTGGTGGACTACCATGTCTTGCATGTTTCTCCATACTCTTAATAGTTTTCTGACTCCAGTTTTGAAAACTCCTGTTTTTCCACTTATATTTCTTTGACTTTACCCTTCTCCTCAGAAATATCTCCTGAAAAATCAACAACTTGTACTTAATGCCTGTTTTGACTGGAAATTAAATAAATGAGGGGTGGTCTCTGAAATCTACACAGCACTGTATGAAACAATAGTGAATGATGACACCATTTATTTTAATTAGGAGCTTCCAGTAAAAAAGAAATGGTAAGAACATTTCTATGTATTTAAAACAATTTCTTATATAAATAAACATTTTAAGTCCATACAAGTTGTTTGTTTGCTTTTGTCTCAGTGAGGGACTAAAAATACAGCCAGAGTGTAAGTATCCAAAGCTACGGGCTACTATGACATGCTTCTCACAAAAACACTGCTGAGCAAGTTACCTCAGAGTACATAGAGGCTAAGCTAAAGGAAGTGATGAGGACATATGAGTAATTTGCTCAGCTATTGTCTACATAACACCTCGTTTATTATTTAATTGTCTTTTATGAGAAAACCTTTTGTGCCTCCTTATTCTTCTGTGCCAGGAGCTCCTTTGTTATGAAGAGATTTCCAGCTCTTGGTGTTGAAGTACATTCAGAACAAAGATGTTTTCATGAGATATCATAAGGCACACTTGACCCACAGGTTTATCCTGAAATCTCTACTGAAGTGAGATTGAGGAGATCGTGGTTGAGTGGATGAGGGTAAGAGGAGATCAAGACAAGTTTACTCATCACTTTTATTTCTCTCTGCTCTACTTGGAGTCTCTCATCTAACGTGTGTATTGTGTTTGTGCTGCCAGCCAGGATGTTTCAGGATATCCAAATATCAGAAAACTTGAATCAGTCTTTAAAGAAATGCACAAATGCAACAAATTAGCATTGTCAGGTGAGTTTCCACAGCAAATATTCAGCCCTTCTCAACTACAGTCCCAAAAATAAAGGTGCCAAAAAGAGTTATTTCAAGCAATGACACAGAAGAACCATGTTTGATTCCTTAAAGAATCTTTCAGTGAGTGGTTCGTTAGTAAAACATTTTTGTAAGTGAGATGTATGAGTGTAAAGAAGCTTTTGGAGTTCTTTGAAGAACCTGATGTCATGGGAAATGTTTCATACTTCATATTTCAGTTTTCTATCACTGCATAAAAGCAAAAAAGAAGCACAAGTCAGCCTTTTGATAACAGATATTGTGCAATATTGCCCAAGTGGTCATGTAAGCTCATTCAGAATAAAATTTGAATCATTAAGCGCCATTATTATTAAACTGACTAGCAATAAAAGGTGAGTGAGAAATGTAAGTATATTCCTATTCACAATATGTCTTGCTTGAAAACGTAAATTAGGAAAAAATTTAAAATGTACAAATTTTGGGCTTCTGTATGATGTTCTTTGACATATCAGATAAATGCAACAACAGATTAAATGACAGAACTACATACCTGTATGATCTTAAAGGGGTAAACAAGGTGACCCCAAATATTCCCCTTTTGATGCTCTTTGGTCCTCTGCGTGTTCTGCGCTATAAATATTGAAAAGTGCTCAGTAAGCTACTGAAGCCCAGTGAATCTTTAGACTAAAAGTCAAACTTACTGCACATAAGTGTATTTGTGATTAATAGTAAAATCAGTGTTACTTTTGCTTTGCTATACATTTTAATTACATGGCGAGTCACACCATGAATTACATTTGCATTCTATGTTGACACTTTCAAGGCTGCACCGACTTTTTCTGTTTGTCAAGTCAAGAAATGACAAAAATGTGGCAAAAATGTAAGGAAGCGTTTGTCTCTTTGCAAATCAGGACCTCATGCACAATAACTTTTCATCAAATTTGACTCATGATATAAAATTCTTGGACTGTACCTACCAGCACAAACATGTTATTGATTTTAAATGTAGTATCTGCACTTTCAACAGAATTTCTCTGCTTATTACAGTGAGCTGCAAGTGAGATATTGTTAGATGCTTTTGTTATCGCCAGCAATAACTGCTAATGTCGACATCTGACATGTCATCCCCAACTGTTTCACATGTACGGCAGGAGGGCAGTGTGATTTAGAAGTCATTACAGCCTGGTTAGCTGTGCTGTTTGCCTGGAACCAAAGGCCAAGAGAGTATCCAAACTGGCCTGAGGGCTGCTGGACACAGACTCTCTGGGTAAATGGCTTTGTTTTCACCTTTACCAAAGACTCTGATTGTAGGTCGTTAGCTGAATCTTGTATTAATGGTCTTGTATTTGCTTGTTTTCTGGTCTCTTGTAGCCTTTCTCAAAGAACAGCACCTCCTGAAGTGGCAGGTACTGTTCTCTGGGCTGTGGTGGGTTCACCTAACGATGTTACAGAGAGATCAGGAGTTCACTTTAATGTGAAACACCCCACTGTTTGCCTCACATGTTAAATACATATATTTTGACTGCAGAGATGCATACAGTATAAAGATTTAATCGTTACTGTTGTAAGAAAACCTTTAATCACTGACAAGATGGACATTAACTCATTCTTTACAGTCATTTGCCTGGATAGCATGTGAGCTGTACATGAGCCTAGTCTGTAAACTCCAACATGGCTTGGCACATACAGCTGGACCTGATGAGGAAATGGACTGTATTTATCAATAAAATGGTTATGAATACACAGCCTGATGTCCGCGACATTGTTTCATGATAGTTTTGGCAAACTTTAAGGGAAAAATCGTCTCTGAAGAAAACTTAATTTTATGTTTTCCACTATTTTACCATCATCACCATTACATTTAAATCTCAGAAGACACATGTAGGTTCACTGGTTGGTTTTGGATAGTAAATAAAATGACTATATTTGGGTTGTAGACATTGTGACCCCTGGCTTTTATCAACACTACTGTAAACTGAGTCAGTAAGTTTCTCTACAGTAAATTATTTCACATCAAATCACTTTGGATGACTTTGTTTACTCAACAAATAAGTTCTGCAGAAATTTGGAAAAAATGGGTGGAATTCCCTTTTAAGTATCTAACATTGAGTGCCTTTTTTTATTTTTTATTGTTATTATTTTTATTACTAGTAGTAGTAGTATTAGTGTTTCCATATGCACCACGTGCATCTCACAATGTTTGTGAGTTTCTTTCACTGACCACATTTAGTCTTGAGTGCCCAGTTGCACCAGTACTTACTTTTCTACCTCTTGTTCACAACCTTTGATTGATGAAGCTCTGAATTGATCTGGTCAGGGGTTAGGGTCATACCATTTGTCATCTTCTCCCACTGTATATCACTCGACAGGCAGCTCATATGTAGTTGATATGATCATGTGACTTGAGGTTAACATGGTTCAAATGTTCTTGTTCCAGTCAGCACCACCATATGCCCGCTACTTCTGTCGTCCAGAAACTCTGTCATTTCTTTTAAAGAATGATATGTGTGTTTGGTTTAGAGAAGGCCCATGCAGGAGCAAGAGTGCTTTATCATGAGCTGTTTCATACCAGTTTCCACAGAACAGGCCTGTTGGTGTACTGTTATAAATAAAGGAGTCAAAGGGTTCTTTGGAACCTTTTCATGTATAGTTCTTTAAAGAACCAAGAGATGTGCAATTGTGAAGAATCTGAAAGGGTAATTAGTGTTAAACATAACACAGAGGTTCAATGCCATTTTTTAAAGTTATAAGTCAGAACCCAAAACCATTTAGGATGCTTTATTATTGAGAGTGTTTTTAAGAGTGTAGGACAGGGATGGGCTGGAACTGTCAGCCTTTTACTGGAGCTGTCCAGAGTGCTGATTGTGCAAGGGTTTGCTTGACCTACATCTGCTGCAGCAGTAAACTTCAACATAATCCACATACACTGTCGGTTTCACCAAGCAGCAACAAATGAGTGAAGTTGACATCTCCAGAGTGAAGCAATGTCTTAAAAGAACCACTTTGGTGCCCTTAAGAACCTTTCAACAGACAATTCTTTGAAGACTAATTTTTGTGTCTGTGAAGCTGAAGAACTTTTTTGACTTTTAAAGAATCTCCACATAATATAATGTTTTACCCCCCTCAGAACCATTTGTCCACACCAAGAATGATTTAGGATCCTTTATTTTTAGTGCATCTACTGTACACTGTACTGTGCAAAAAAGTTTCTATGAATTTGTAACAATCATGGAACCCTTCTGGTATACAATAGGTTATCCATCATAGAGAAGAACAATTACCGTTTTTTCCTGAATGTAGCATAGTGGAAAAATATAAAACATAAAATGTGGCCTGTGCAAAAATTATTGCACATTTCAACAATATATATACACACATACATACATATACATACATATATATATATATATATATATATATATATATATATATATATATATATATATATACATATATACATATATATTGCTGCTGTCAGAGCAAAACCTTGCATCTCTTTGTATCAACTGTGCAGGACAAAGAAAAAACATTATTTTCTTTCAATGTAAGTCAATGAAACATTTTTTCAAGTAATTTTGGGCCATTTCTTTTGGTGCTTTCATCACGTAATTTACATACAATGTAAAGAACAACAGGCCTTTTCAACATATGTCAAAAACTGAAAAACAAAAACAAAAATGGAGATACAAGGTTATACATACATATGTATATATATATATATATATATATATATATACATGTATATATATATATATATATATATATATATATATATATACATGTATATATATACATATATATGTGTATATACATGTAAATATATACACATAGACATATAGATCATCTCTGTTGGACCAAAACCTTGTATATGTAATTAAATCAAATTAAATTGTACAACGGTCATATTAAAGTGTTATTACTGCATTTGTTATTTTGTTCATTTGTTCTCATTAAAAAAAAATTAACAAGTCATGTTTCATGATTCAGTTCGCTTTATATTTTGTTCTTAAAACGCTTCAAAAACACAATTTCAGAACAAAACTGAAAATTATAGACTACAGTATAACAATATTATAGTCTAAATATATGTTTGTTCTTTCACTGGGTGAGAAGGTGGGGTTAGGGTCACTTTCTGGCAGGCCAAATCAAACATCCTCATGGGCCACACTCTGGGCAGCTGTCTGGAGTCTGGAACTTTTACTTTATGTGGAGGTTCTTTAAACTTGAACTTGACCATTGACCAAAAGCTTCTTCGCACTCATACATGTGATGTACTGAAGAACCATCCATTGAAAGGTTCTGTGTGGCTCTGAAGAACCCTTTCTGGCACCTTTATTTTTCTGTATGTAGATTATTTTTTCCCACAGTGAGCACCTGGACTTTGGGTAAATGTACAGAATGAGGGACTTTGTGAACAGTATCTGCTTACGTTTAGGAGCTTATGTGTATCTCACTGGGTTGGTGAAAGCATATGCGTATGCGTGGGTATCAGTGCATGTGTGTGCCCATCTGCTCTGCACATGCTCAGATGGAGAGGCTCGTAGGCCCCTCCCTGCGCGGGAGTGCTGATCTGCAGGCGGATATAGCAAGCAGTGCGTCGCAGGGAGAGAGAGGTGGAGAGAGAGGGAGAAAGAGAGAAAGGGAGAGGAGACAGAGGAGGCTCGCGGCTGCTGGATCCCCGGAGGAGGAGCGGAGAGAAGACGCCACCGCGGGACTGGAGCTGAGCTCAGGTACCATCGCAGCTCAGGCTGCTGTGCGCGGACGCTCGGCGCTCCACTGCTTTTCCACAGCCAACACTGGAGCGCGCGATCATAAGAACCCTCGGTCTCGTCTGATTAAGATGCACTGATTTACTGTATTTACGGTCAGGCGTCGTGCACGCGGTGATGAGGTTTTGTGCTGAACGTGCAGGTGTCCGAGAGGGAGCTTACAAATGCAGCTGAACGAAACAGTGCAATTGCAAATGCTGTATACAGTGTCTATAGAGCAAGTGATCTTGCAAATAGGCTACAGAGTCACGATGCTCGTAGCTATAGTTACCGCTATTTTGAGCCACTGGAAGACTTGCCACAGTGCAGTGGCCAGTTGCATTAATAAGAGGTGTGTCTGACCAACACCCACGCGCCTTGTAATAAGTTTGACCACCGGTGGACCCAGCCCGTGTACGCTATGTGTGCAAACCGCTGCATTCAGGCTAGCTCAAAATGCTACTGATTTACAAGTGAGGGATCACTGTAGACCTAATGCAGTGTCATATTTACGTTCATATAATCGAAATAACAGAATGAATAACAGAATAATCAGTAATAATTAGTAATACTTTCCTCTTCTTGAAAGCCATAATTCACCTTGTTTTCTTCACGGTTTGCTTTGTCCACAGTGATTTTTGTGCTGTGTATCGGAGGTTCAGGGTCTTCTCTGAGGTGTGGAGGCTGAGGAGTGAGGGCAGGACCCAGGCATGCAGGGCAGATGACATATGCATTCATGCAGTGGCTGCAGTGCCAGGGCTGGGATACCCTGAGCTGGAGTGGGTGGGGGAGGGGAGGGGGAAGTAGAGGGGGGGGTTCTTCCAACATCTTTGCTGCACTCTTTCCTTCTCTCAGCCAACCAGCGCTTCTCTTTCGCTCTCGGTCGCTCTTCTCACTCACTTTCTTTCTTTTTCTTGCTTTCATCCTCTTCCTTGCTCCCCATCTCTCCCCTTCTCTTTTCCCTTCTCTCCACCTGTCATTCCTTCTCTCCATCTTTATTTTTTCTCTCTCGCATTCTCTCTCACACACTCTCTCTCTGCTTTCTTTCCATCTCTGTCTCTCTTCTCTTCATCTCTTTTCTTGCTATCCATCTTTTTTACTCTCTCACTCTTCCTTTGTCTCTATTCCCTCTCCTTTCTTTACATCTCCTTTCTCTCCCTTTCATTCTCTGCTCTCCATCTTTCTTTCTTTCACTCTCTCTCCTTCTTTATCTCTTTCTCTTCTTCTCTCATTTCTGGCTCTCTCTCTTTCTGTCTCTTTCTCTTTACCATTCCTCTTTTCATTCTCATTCTCTTCATTTCGGTGCTCTCTCTCTCTCTCCCTCTCTCTCTCTCTCTGTCTCTCTCTCTCTCTCTGTGTGGCCAGTGTGTTGTGCTGTTAGCAGCCCCTCTGTCCCACAGGATGCTTATTCTTTAACAGAGAGCTCACAATATCCGCTTGGACTGCACACTAATTTGCCAAGCTAAAACACCATTTAGTCCCTCCTTTTATAAAGCCAAGACCTTAGACCACATCAATTTGCCAGTCTGCTTGTAAAGTTTTATGAGGATGTGGTCTATAATTTGGCCTTGAGAGTGTGTGAGTTGAAACAGGGGTAAACGTTTCAGAGCCAGCCAAGATGCTGGCATATCCTGCAGCTGCTTTAACCTCTTAAATGGACAAGGGACCACCGGTGGGCCCAAAGTTTATTTCACTTGCACAAAATTATTTCACTTACATTCCTTCGACTTTCCCCTTCCTTATGAAAGTGAATTTTTATATCTAATGTCCTCAGAAAGATCTCCTGAAGAATAAATAACTTGTGCTTAATGGCCATTTTGACTGGAAATTACGTAAATGAACAGTGGTCTCTGACTTTTCCACAGTACTGCACGTGTATATACAGCTGATAAAATGGCAGAAAAACATCACTAGTTTAACTGTAAAGGAACTAAGGTATTTGCAGACCTTGCAGAAGTGCTTACATTTGGACCTGCTGGAAGGTCCTTATTGTTTAAGAGGTTAAAACATGGCAGGTCAATTTGATGTTTCCACAGTGTGTGTCAGACTGTACAGTATGTAGCCGTCTCTAGTGATATATGTGCTTGTGAGTCTGTGCAAACTGCCTGCTGCTTAAGTACCTGCTGCTTGGCCTTCACTGTTGGTATTAAGGCCTGTGAGTATAATCTCCACCCACGAACTTCAGCGCTCCCTACCTGCCTGCCTGCCACCTGAAAGAGAGAAAGAGAGAGAGAGAGAGAGAGAGAGAGAGAGAGAGAGACGTAAAAAGTGGAGTGGTCTCACTGATGTCACGAGTCAGTCACGAGATGAGGCCAGCACCATCTGCCATGCTGGCTCCCCACTGCACTGCTTTCATTTCCCCAGGTGCTCCAGTCAAGACTGCAATGGAGTCAAAGTCAACCTAGCACTGCTAACAACAAAGCCCCCGCTAACATATGCTTCATAATCCTCTATCAAAAGATTGAGAATCAGCACAATTGAATTTCTGCTGTTCATCTCTATCTTTTTCAGCAAGATACTCCCATTTAAGTGCAGTTTTAACCCCTTAACCCCTTGAAATCCCAGGCTTATTACATACTAAGGCTTATTATTCAGTAACTACAGGGACTTCAGTGCAAACTGGTTGAGCTATTCTTAGGTTATAGATGTGGCTAATAAAACGTTGGTTTTGCATTATATGGGCCCTTTAAACTGGCTGGTTTTGTTACTGTGCCTTTAAAACTAATATACATTAATGCCATTGATTCTGATTGGCTGCACTGTATTGTGTCTAAAAAAACAGACCCGGTTGAAACACTCCTTATAACTTTAGTGTAAGTGGGCGGAGCTAAACTGCTGTAGGCTGAATAGGTGGATTTATGTAACTGCATTGGTTTTCATGACATCACAGAAACAATGAATTCAAAATGGACCTTTTTACAGCTCAGTTTACATATAAATAAGTCTGGGGTTTAAAGTGTTAATTATTTTCTTAAAATGACACCAAAGGCCAAAACAAGCCTTTAACAATATACAATTGATTATCTAACCCTTTAATACAGTTCTTTTTGTAAAAGTTGATTTACACTTGAAGAAATGCTGCTGAATGTAATAACTGAATAATAGGCCTGGAGTTTAAGGGGTTTTAACATTAGCCGGTTTATGAGTTGAGTAAGCTGTGCAACAGAGTATGAAGGGAAAGGCTTTAAAATCATCTCACATTGTACAAAAAAGGCCACATTGAGTGCTGTACTGCGTGTGCCTCCGAAAATACCTCATGAGGAAGATTTGCGGCTGTGGAATGACATCAGTCGGAGATTTTGTCATTAGTGCAGAAGCAGTGGACGCCGAGCTGAAGTCATAATTAATCAGAGCGGAGGTCTGGGAGTGGAGATGAATAATTCACTGCAGCTCCAGCACTTTCTCACAAAGCCCTGAAAGAGCTGTGATTGACAGACTGCCCATGCATTTCACACACCTCAAACACAGCGAGGGAAGCGCAGGGGAATCAGCTCCCCAAAATATCTGGAATTCATTAGGCTTTTGTATAAGCACAGGCCTACTATCTGAAATGGCACTGAACGCTGTCACGATACCAGAACTTTGATTTGATACTGGTACCAAGTAGGGGTGCAATGATTATTCGACTTAGTCGACTAAAATCGACGACCAAATTAGTTGGCAACTAATTTAGTAGTCGATTAGTTGGTGACATCATCACGCGTGTTTCTCGTGCTCAAGAGGAACATTTTGACATTGCCGTTACTGGAGAGTTAACATCAGCGTGATGGCAGCCTCAAGAACAAAATCCAAGAACAAAAGTGTGGGAGCTAAACTCAGAAAAAAACGTTGTCAGTTGTGCTGTTTGTAAAGCTGACTTAGCTGGCACGGGAGCACATCCTCCATGCTGGAGTATCTGAAGAGGAAACTCGTCGGCTCACTCCGTCCTACTTCATGTTCTGAACTGAGCTGTAACATCTTCAGTTTTCGAAATGCATTTTCTCTGGAATCGTTAACGGAGTTGGAACAGAGGAGCAAATAACTATTATTCACAGTGACCCTGTTCACTTTCCAGATAACGTTCACGGTTTTAAACACTGCACGTCGGTGTAACGCCGAGGCCACCGGTGCGGTCAAATTCGGTGAACACAGGAGAGTGTTTACAAACAGCTTACTGTTCTCCGTGAACGTTTAGCTCCACTCGCTAACAGTTTAAGAAAGTATTTCTCCGTGAACACACAGGGTAGCTGGACAAAGGGTTACAGTCGAAATGAAGCGTTTACACAAAATCATTCATTTAACTGTTCTTAGTGAACAAGTTTTCCACAAACATTCGCTAAGAGGAGAGCGAGACTCTCACAGGAGCACTGTTTATTGACTTGATTAAAGGAAAACTGTTTAGTTTTGTTATATTTTCTTGCTGCTACTTTGCACACATTTTGACAGAAAAAAATATATTGGAGTTTTATTTTTTTTTTTATCTTTTGTATTAGCAGGAAAGTTCATTAAAACAGTGAATTCTTGAATGGTATTCATCTTTGTCTTCATTGTTAGCAAATGCATAAAACAACCTCATGCTATTAGCTTTTAAATTTAGCTACATAAAAGTTATTCGGATTTCATAATTCAGATTTCATAATCCGAATAATCGGATTATTCATTTAAAATTAGTCGTTTGTTGCAGCCCTAGTACCAAGTGATACTATGGCATAAAATTAAGAACAACTGTCTGAACACCGAATGAATATTGAACTGAACACAAAAAACACAGGAACATTCAAATGATCACAGCTAAAACAAAAGCCCCATATTCTGCAATTTTCAGCTTATGACATTTGTGTGGATTTATTTACGCAAAATACTCATTTTTACATGACCATTTTGCAACTTCTCTTTATCTACAGGAATAAAAGAGGCTGTTATTGTTACTGTGTCTTTTAGACTGTAATTGATCTGTTCTTATGGCTGCCTTGCACTGTGCCTCATCCAAAACACCAAAAAGC